GGTTTGCACAGGCATCAGACAACATTTGCCACTTTCTGTCTTCACAGACGAAGCTTGTGTCCCCATGGAAGGAGGGAGAACAAGGCTGAATACAAATAGCTCCATTGTCTTGGCAGGGAATGACATTTATACAGGAATCTGGAAAATAAATCAAGCAGATAATGTTATAAGGTGTAAGATAGTGCACCATGGTCCATGAGGTATCAGGGGTGTAAAGCGTTGATAACTGATAACAACTCACAGAGAATTAAACAAGACACATAGTTATTCACTGTACCTTGCTCATTACCAGTCTTTGATTCCCTACTGAGAACCTGAAAAATAAGAAGTGAATATGTATGAATAATAAAAAGGGAACAAGTATCTTGAATATTCGCATAAATAACTAAAGGATGATTCCTTGGCACAAACCAGAAAGGGCTTCAAGGGCAAAAATAGTTCTTTTGAGTCCAGAATGCAGCACTCATGTCCCCTTGCTGGTACAGGCCAATTCAGAACTCACCACTTAAGAGTTTGTCTCTCTAGATGAAACCTTCAGTTGGACCCTTCTACTGAAATGACACACTGAGGTTCACACAACTCCAGCAGGTTCTCCTCAGTCAAAAAGCCTCTATTAGGCTCCAGTATTTCCCATGTTGATGAGAATATGTGACTTGATGTGATCTATATGACTTTTGCCATAAGACAGTGCTACAGTGGTACCAATACCAATCTCTGCTTTGTTCCTGTCCTGACTGGGAAGCAGCCTCAAGGCCTGTGTGTAGAGCTCCTTCAGGCAGGAACACCTGCTGGAACTGTGTGTTGTACAGCCTGACACAATCCAGAACAGCTTCCATCGTTGCTTGGGCCATCATCTACAACCAGCCAAACTTTCCAAAACCTGAAGGGGCCTACAAGGCTAGAGAGGCAGTTTTCAGAAGGGTAGAGTGGCAGAACAAGGGGGAATGGCATTAAACTGACAGAGGGCAGTTTTGGATCACATATCAGGAAGAAATTCTCTACAGTGAGAGTGGAGAGGCCCAGGCACAGGTTGCCCAGAGAAGCTGCCCCATCCCTGGAAGTTCAAGGTCAGGCTGGATGGGGCTTTGAGCAACCTCGTTCTTGCAAGCTGAATAGCAGGTTTTTAGCACTCCAGGAGTTGTGCTGGAGGTTCCCTGGCATCTGGAATGCTGAACATACTGAATACTTCAAAGTATTTTCTCCTGTAGCAACAGGAACAAGGGGTAATGGTTTTAAACTGAAAGAGGGTAGATTTGGATCAGATGAGGAAGATGTTCTGGTGAGGGTGGTGAGGCACTGGAACAGGTTGCTCAGAGAAGCTGTGGTTGCCCCATCCCTGGAAGTGTTCAAGGTCAGGTGGGATGGGGATTTCAGCAAGCTGGTCTGGTGGAACTCACCCTGAGAGCACTGTGTGGTGTGGCCAGGAAGAAGTGCACAGCCCAAAGGAGCAGGCAGTAGACTACCCTCACCTCCATCGCTGAGCATTTGCTGCTTTCCTCCTGGAAGAAAGATGTTAAAGAAGTTTAGACATCTGTTTCCACTTTTTGAACACAGTCTGAAAGCAGCCAAACCCATGCCAAAGACTGTCCTTACTGGGCTTGCAAGGTGGATTTTGGGCATTCATAATTTATTACCTTTACTGAGAATGATTTGTGAACCCTTCCCTGAAAAAAAAAGAAAAAAGGATATAAAATCTGTCCAAAACTGAAAGTTACTGCATTAATAATTCACTGTAAACTGAGAGCTGCAGAACTTATTAAAGCAGTTCAGCCTTTAGGTCCCTTTTGAAGAGATTTAAGACAGCCTTGCTTCCATGGGGTTCAACACTGTTGCTCTCTTTGGGCAGTTCCTGAGGAGCCTTGTGAGGTAAGAAACTTGGGCACTCAGGGCTTGGATATCAAAAACTAATAAACAAGGACCAGACTAAGTAAAAGAGCTATTTCCTTTGCAGAAGGATTCAGACCTCTACTCCCTCCATGAAGCTTCCCATGGTCCTTGGTAGGAGCTAAACATCCCGGGATGCAACTTGCTACAGGCATATTTGCTGGAAGAAAATAATTCAGTAAAAGAAATGAAGGAAAAACAATGGTTTAGATCCAATCTTATTATTACGTGCTTTACATGTCCAAGGCAAAAGCAACATCTGCTCTGCATTCAAAAGAATTGAGACACTGATCTTCTATCAGTGGATGAATAAGTAGATTAGGTAATTTACTAAAAAATAAAAACATAAAATCCGTGAGCAAAGACACTAAAGCACAAAACAAGTGCTCAGTTGCAAAGCAGGATGATGACTAGATTTCAGGAGATGGCAGCATGAAAAAGCTTATCAAATCACCGTGCCTTGACAGGACCCACTCAGCTTTCCCCCGACACATACTGATCAGCACAGATGAAGTAAATCAGAAGCAGAAAGGGTGCTGCACTGATGGAGCAGAGATGTGTTTTCCTATCCAAGAGACTCCAAGCTCTCACCGTCTGTCAGCATCAAAGGCCCAGGCACACAGGTGGCTGCCCCTTTCATCTGGGATGTTTGTTCACCTTGCTGTGCTTTTAGATCTTCGGGTTTATTACCTAACTGTGAAATAATCATAAATGTAGAGCTTGACTGATGCACTGAATTTCTAAGCTAGCTCTAAAGGAGAGCCTTGTGACAGCCTCTTGAATTCAACTGTTAATTGGACAAGCATTTCCTGGGTTAAAAGCTAGCAGCCATTACCTCTTCTAAGGAAATAAAATGGATAAGAAGAAGTGAACCAAAATACTTGGATCAATATTGCCAAAGAAGGGGAGGTGGCTGGGAAACACCTACAGCTCTGAAGCAAAAGGTTATATCAAATTCTTTCCCGATTTCTGCGGTCATTAAGTGTTGATTGTATGCTCGTAGCCCTAATTCCATTTCACAGCGACAGTCCTTAAGCTCATCATGCCTCACCATTAATTAATTCACATTCATTTTGTATTTAATCACCGATGGAGCTCCACCCAGGACTGTTACCTTTGAGTGAGGCAGAAATCTGGGACACCTTCATGTATCTCAGACTCACAGAGATACTGGCCCCTGTTGCCAGTGAAACACTGATCTCGCTCAGCTGCATTGCTTGACTCATCATGGAAACCTCCCAGTCTCACCAATGCAAGAACCTGCCAAGGGAACTACTGTGCAGCAACAGAAACTTGGAGCAAAACAAGTAATACAGCAGCAAGTCACTGCCACCTTAGGAAAAGACAGGGATACAGTGACACAGGGCCACATGAAAGCATATACAGCTAATCCTCTTCCTCCAAAGAATCCAGTTATGGCACTTCAGACAGAGGATAATTTATCTCTTCTCATAAACTACCTACTGCCATTAATGCTTAACTTTTTAAGCAGCTGTAAACACGTTAATTCTCTCTCCCAGAGGATTCTGTTCCATCAGGACACAGGTACACAAGCAGCTGAGTTGTCAACACTCTCTCACGTGAAAAGGACTTTCTAGTGAGAAGACACTTCCACATCCACAGGTTTCTCCCACCCAGCTCAGGAGACCATCACCAGCTGCTGATCCTCCTTCTCCAGGTCATTTCAAAGCCCTCAACAGAAGGGAAAAGCAAAGAGTGAGTGGATGGACAGTGGTTAAAAGAGAGCAAAGAGCCCCTTAAAGCAGTAAAAAGAAAGGTAAACTGATCATGCATTTAAAAATTAATCCATATGCTGCTTAATGCATCATAGCCTCAAATTCAAATCCCTTACTCTGTCACTCTTGTTGGCTTAAAACTGAAGTATTCTGTAAAATCCTACAAAGCTATACTCATTTCCTCTATCCCCAAGCACATTCTTGCTTTTAATTGCTGGCAGGATGTGCTGCATGGCAGTCTGGCCCCACATGGGCACAGCAAGGAAGGAGGGCTCTGCCCAAGCAGTGACAAGTGTGGGAACTACAACCCCACACTCGTGGACACAAGGTCTCTCTCCAAAGGGTTCTCCATCACCTGCAGTCACCTCTCTCCCCTTTCCACATGACAAACTATAGCTAAGTTTACAGGGAAAGTTATAAGCTCACGTTGTACAAAATTAAGGTTTATACTGACCTTGCCATAATTAGCTGAATAAATATATTTTCCCAAACAGTACGAACTTGCACTGTGTGTATTTAACATTCAATAAAAATACTAAATACATTGTTACAGAACCTAATCTATTAGTTTTAGGGCTTGAATGGCTATGATCACTTGCCATTACTACCATGCAATTTGAGGCTGCAGCAGGAGACTTTGGAGTGTTCAGCATGGTCATTCAAGGATAAAAAGTAAAGCTCTTAATTCTCCCAGAATGGTATTAGTTGTATTTTTAAAGGAATCACACTTGAAAAATTTAAATGAAGCAAGTTCTGAGAGTTATATTTATAGTTAACTTGAGCCATAAGAAAACTCCAGATTTTCTTGTAAGTTACAGCACCATGATTAGAGACCAATTACAAAACTTCGAGAAAAAAATAAATCAGAGGCTAAGTAATTATTTTCACAGATGCAAAGAGACGTAAAACAGAGGAAGTAAGTGCAAAATAAATACAGCCACAGCAATTAAATGCATTTTAGATTATGAATGAACCAATTTCACAGACCACTGATATTCCCAAGCAGTTCTGGAATAGTGAATTTTTGTGATAGTACTCACCGTTTTCAGAAGCCTGGGTTCTACATTAAGCAAAGTTAACCCGGCTAGAGATCCTCAAGGTATCAGATGATTGTCTAACCATTCATCTGCTGCCATCGTGCCCCAGTCTCACTCTCACAGCCTTACCCAGTGCTCCCTGGGTGCTCTGATTCAGTTGGAGTTTCCCCACGAAGAAATAACCTTGGGCATCAGCTGCTTCTTGTCTCGCCTGACTGGATTAATGTTGAGGAATCTGCAGGTGACAATGAAGGTTTTGCATTGCAAAATGACAAAACAAGTTACAAACACACCCACAGAACTGCCAGATTGCCACCTTTGCCAGGAGTCCACACTGATGAATCACACCCACGTGGTTGGTACCCTTCCCCCTGGTAGAAGAGGCAGCTTCTGCTCTTCTGTATTTCACAGAACTACAGCATGGTTTGGGTCAGAAGGGACCTTAAAGATCACCCAGTTCCAACCCCCCTGCCATGAGCAGGGACACCTTCCACTAGACCAGATGGCTCAGAGACCCCATCCAACCTGGCCTTGGACACCTCCAGGAATGAGGCATTCACAACTTCTCTGGGCAACAGATCTTCTAAAAACCCCAAAATAAAATCTTATCAAGTTAATGCATCACCTTTTATAAATCCAAGATGACACTGCTGACAAGAGCACAGCTAAAAAGCTCAGTGAGCAAGTAATAACCTTTTCTTTAGGGACACCCAATTGTAAGGGGTGACAGTTTTCTGATGAACCTCGTGCCATGGTCACTGCTGGCTCTCCTAAAACCACCTCACCTCCCACAGTCAGATTCCCAACAGCCAGTAACATAGAGCAAGTAGTTTATTGTAACAGATGAGAAATTCCTAAAGCTCTTCCTACTAACAAGGCTGCTTTCAAAGAGCTTTAGTCACTAAATCGTTCCACTTCCTTGCAAAATGTTTACAGGGTTCCCTGAGATACTGTCATTTTGTCTGCTACCACAACTCCAATCATTCCTCAGTCACGGGCAAATCTTCAAATTTTAGCTGAAAAGTAGGTATTATTTACTGTTCTGTTTTGATACAGCCAGTCACATCTCACACCAGCACCAAGTAGGAATTTAGCCAAGCACAACCACACACAGCCAACACAACCCACCTGGGAAGGTTAAATTACTTGTACCTGATACAACAGCAGGCAGAGATGAATTTAAAGAAATACCTCTAAGTAACAGGGGCCAAACCCCAATCATGCTGAAGTATGGATACCTGCCTTAAAAGGCTTCTTGCCCATGTCACCTGGAGCTGTGCTTCTACATACCCTCCGAACCTTTATGATGGCAAAACTGAATGCCCCTTGATTGCCAAATTTCTCATCAACCTCAGCAATAGTACCCAGAAGGACACAAAGACCAGCATACTGCAACACTCCGACACACACCTGCTTCTCCCAGAAGGGCAGGCTGTGCGTTTGTGCTCCCAAGGGGCTTGGAAAGAGACTGAAACCATGACTTCCAGCAAGGGGGGCACTCCAAACCCTGGACCAGCAGCATCAGTCTCAGGCTTTACAAGCTGGTCAGGGTTGTTTGCATTCCTCAGGCTGGGAGGCGTGTGTGCCCAGGCACCCAAAGGGAGTGGTTTGTCTTCCCAGCTCTTGCAAAATCCAATTACTCAAGATCTACAACCAGCTGCCACAATGCTGAGCTGTCTGATTTCTCGGAGATCAGAAACATCTCAGAGAACTTTAACAGCAGCCAAAAGGCAACTGTGAAAATCTGTTTTTACCATCCCTTTGGAAAGAGTTAACAGATGTCTGAAAATTTATGACTTTTATATAAATACCTTGTATTTTATAGAGTTCAACAGATATGTTGCTACACAAATCAAACTCTGCACGACATCCCAGGTTTCCATCAGAAACTTCACTACCATATGAAAAAAGATGTCTTTGTGGAAAAAAATCAAATAAGTAGATCTGTAATTTTGGTGTGTTTGGGGTTTTTTTTAGCTATACTTTGTATGCAAACAAAATCTCTTCAGAGAATCTTGTTAAGATTGAATAAAAACTTTGGAGTTTAAAAATAACATTTTGTTGTTCTGTTCCTCATTTACCTTTTCCCTCATCCATGTCCCTATTGAACAGTTCTTCTGTTTAAGAAGTCTTCAGTTCTTCACTATACACTCAGGTGATTCAAATATGCATTTATCCATGTTACTGAACAGAACAGGGAGACTAAAAAGAGGCTCTGAAGATGCACAGTAAGGTCAGTTCAATATAAACCAACAGAGGGGAAAAAAAGAGGGAAAGAAGAAATCCTGAGAAGTTAAAAAATTCCCAGTTATACTTGCGAAAAAACCCAGTAAGCTTTCCAACTGTTTGGATCCTAAGCTATCCTGAGAGTCAGGAACCAGAGCATCCCAGTGAGCAAATTAAAACCTGAAAGCCTCAAATGGGGACTATATAAATACTTTGCTCCCCACCCCACCCCAAACTCCTCCTGCAAAGGATTTAACAGCATACAAACTCATTCCTGAACAGAACCAAGCAGACATTTGAACAGGTTTTTATACTGCTTTTATTTGCTGAGTTTGGATAGCATGCATCATTTTACAGCACCGGTATAAAGTCAGTGAAGCACACAGCTCGTAGGAACTTGTACTGTGGAATGTCTTCAAAACCATTACCCTCTCCCCCCTCCACCCCAGTACATAACACATATCAGGGCAACTTCCTTATGGCTAAAAATACTCATAGCAGCAACTTTTAAAGAAAGGTTTATTAAATCAAGTCATTGCACTTGGGTCATTTATTGCTATAGCGAGCAAAGGCCATTAAATAACAAACACCTTCCATTCGTGGCTTTAACTGATTGTCTTGGTCCGTTCGTCCTCTACAAGCTCCCACACAGGCACAACTTCCACAGAGCGATCCATCCCAGGATTTGTTTTGTGCTCCAATCACAGTGAAGAGCTTGAATAACAAAACTGGGTATTCCACTAGGCTCAATTCTTGCTTTTCATCACCTGCTTTGGAGGTGAATTCCAAGCACGGGTATAGTGTCTGACGAGAAGCATTACTGCTGCACATGATTCCTCAGTATAAACACTTGGCTCAACCCTTCATTTGTGGTGCATTTAGGCAATTGGAAGTTAAAAGCATTAATATTGAATCAGCTTATGAGCAATTTGACTAGCAAATATTACTCAATACCTGCATAGTGTATTAATCAAATTTCATTAACTATTTGAATCAGCAATTGACGAACATACTCCAGCTGACTTTTTGACATTTAATATTTTATGATGCATCAACTGTGGAAAAAGTACACTCTCAAGAAGTAACACTTCCATGTCACTTGAGCAAGTGACATACTAAATAATTACTATATTTATGACTACTCCCATCAATAGAAGTTTAATTACTTCTTTTATTCGTGAAGTTGCCAAACTATGTGACATTTTTTTGTCATTTAAATTACAGCAGATCAAATGGAGATGAGCTGATTACTAACAGAATTAATGTGTTTTGACTGGCTTCCTAAAGCTTTATGTATGGGTTTTAATTCTTTAATCAAACAAACACAGCAATAAATACCATTGTCTCCCATCACTTTGCATATTACTTGTATATTATTCTGCTGCAAGTGCTGAGCTCAGGGGTTAAAGATAATGGTAATCCACAAGATCTCAGCTGCTAAAGACACTGTCTTGGACACCAGCACAATGATGTCAAAGCAATTGTTCCAATCACTCATTAAAATACAAAGGTGTTATTAAAGTTAGAGGTACACAGTACACTGAGAAAGGTCATGGCATAAATATATAAATATTGAGACCTTTTGAGAGTATCAAAGTTCCAAAGGGATTTATTTGGAGACATGTTATAAACAAAACCTGACTATTGTAAAAACAGATCGAGATGCATATTGAACCATTACAAAGACTTCAGTTTAGATACACAGGTACACAGACGTTGTGACTTTTCCATGCTGTATACTGGAGTATTTTAGGCACAACAGGTTAAGACTGGACTCGAGCCTTGTTTCTGTATTTCCTGCATTTTGTGGTTTTACAAACTGACTTTTTTTTTTCATCATTTCATGATTCAGTCCTAAATCCCTTTTTAATCCAATAGTGCAAGTGACAAACCGTTCTGCTGAACTACTCGGATTAGATCATCCGTTCTCACTACAATGCATAGGAGTTTCACCTGCTTCATTGCACTAACAAATTCCTATCTCATTACTCATAAACAGCACAGTATTAATATTCTCACTGCAGACAGGCACAACAGCATAACCCTGGGTGAGACTGCCAAAATTATACAAATATCATATATTCCCTTTTGCGTGTAGGGGAAAAGTAGTGACTACAATTACAATACGGTTATTCCACCCCTCCCAATACACTATTTTACAGATTAGTTGTAAAGATAGATCACCCTATTTATAGTATAGATCTCTTTAAAAATTAAGCTACAGGTATTCCATAAAAATCTATTAAGAATTCCCTCTCCTTTCTATACAGATTCAGTAGTATTTTCTAGCAAACCAAAAAAATAAGGTCTGCAATTCCAGCACAGTAAGAAATAAGGCCTCTTTTATATTGGCAAAAAAAATTACACCATTATTCTTTTTTGTTTTCTTATCTCTCTGAATATAAGACTATATTCCTTTTTTTTACTATATTTTTTAAGACTGTAGAACAACAGCATCCATTATTATGAAATAAGAGTCAGTTCTCCTTCTGTTCAACTTTGAATTCCTGGTGAGTTAAAAACATTGAGTCCATAGCTCTCATGTAGACATCACTGCTTTCTTCAATTTTTCTATTTCAAGCTGGAAAATGGACATTTGGAAGAGAAAGTCAGTCTTAAAGTAGCAATAAAGGAAAAGTCTTCAGAGCTTTCGCCAAAGTTGTAATATTTTCAAATACACTGGAGTAAATAATATTATAACATTATTGCATATGACAGGTCAATATTTATAGCTGATTTTGTAACACTATGTTGCTAAACAAACAGGAACTTATAATCATTAACAATTTGCCTACAGTTCTGGTACATCTTGTTGGATAAACTCACTCTGAACAAAGCAAAGCTGGGTTATGGAAGCACCTGTCGTGTCCCAATGTGAGGCTGCATCATCACCTCAGAGTAACTCCCTAAACCAGCTTTCATACAAAACACTGTGCCTTGATCAATTTGAATTTCTTCAAATGCACTTAGAGGACACCTGGAAGTTACCTCTCCTTCATCCCCAGTGCATATTTAGGGCGACTGCATTGATTGTTTTAGAGCCACGTTAAAAGGTGAACTCACGAGAAGTTGTTCTCAAGTGTCAAAAGTAGCTTTGGAGTCAGTAAGATGCACTACTTCCCAAATAAAATGCCCTTTTGTACCAGACCGAAATAATTTCCTACAGTGAGCTCATCCTGTTAACTACTTAATGGCATCATACTGCAAAGCAGGCAGTGGTATTCATCGATGAATTGAGAAGTGGTGTTCATTCATAAGGAAATTTTTCAGATGCATTCTGTTCTTTTGGCCAATTATCCACATTTAATATTTAAACACTTCATAAAAAATTTAGAGAAGTTTCCTTTTGCCCTGTTTTCCTTTCGATTCCCTAAAGTAAATCTGTCTTTCAAACTTAAAAGAGGAAAGTATTACCTGTATCTCTTGGACCATGTCCAGCTGGACATATTTCTAGCAACACTAAACTGAACTCACATCTCAACACCCACACACATTGTTGCAAATAATATTCCAGATAAAGAAAGCTGAATTTGGATCTTCTATATACATCCAACTGCCTTGTGAAGGATTCATTCAACCACACACTAATACAGCAACACAAAAAAAGACTCAACAGGTTTATTGAGACTTTCTTGTGACATCAAATTCCAGACCAATGTCTTACAAACTTCTGAATACCCATCCCATCCCAGACCAATAACGTTACCTCCAGATTACTTCGCAACAGCTTCTCTTCTTCCAAGTCCTTCTTTAGTTTTTCCAGTTCTCTCCTAATAGTAAAGATAACAGAAATACAAGTTAGAGGGGGGCAGAAAAAACCTTCACATTACTGGGGACATAGGCCTTGTTTAAATTTTACAAGTGGAATTCACATATGAAGGTACATACCCACTAGTGAATTGTTACCCAAATCTGTTGGACCACGAGCTTCCACCACCTCCCAACACTTCTTATCTATCACTATGCACCTATCCCTAATTTTTAATCACAATTTTAAGTAGGCTACTTTAAAGTCTGTACTGTTATATTTAACCTGTAAAGTTGAATTTAAGCTAAAATAACCTGGTGATTTGAATTAAAATATAAAATGAAATTTGAACTGAAAATTAAGTATGAATTAAAAATGAAATAAAACATATTTTATTTCATAATTATGTTCAAGCAAGAAAGTGCTAAGAATTACAATCACACACGATGGGGTCACCATGATCACCAGTTTGAAAAGCTCAGTAATATCCTTCTCTAACAGTCAGGTGTGCACAGTGTTACACAAGGCCAGCACATGTACTTATGGTATTACCACAAAAAACTACCTACTTTTCCTTACAATGAAAGCATAAACTGTTTGAGAAATACTTTCAAAAAGCTGTAGTGAACGCAGAAGTTTAAAGTAGGAGAGGAAAAAATGTGTACAAATTCCAAAAATTTGTACGTATTTAGGACATTGAGCTGGATTAACTTTGAAAGAAAAGTTCTAAATTAATATTAATATATTATCATACAATACTTTTCTTAATTTTAAGTGTGGCATGAAAGACATTTATAAGATTCTATACATCCCTTTGGAGACTGAGAAAGCAAATATTTACCCATGTTCTTTCTTCAGTGCTTCTACTAAACCCATCAAATCATTAATCTGAGTCCTGAGCTCTTCCACAGAAATTTTTTCATCATCAGTTTCTCCTTTAAGATGGATGTCTCCAGGTAAAAAGTCGAGTATGACAGAACTTGGTCTCTGAGATGAAGATGTAATTGGGCTGAATGCAGATGGCTGAAAAAATAAATTAGTAAAAAGGTAAGAAATGAAAACTTTATGAGCTGACCACTTACAGCACACAGGTTTGAGCAGGGTGGGAGCTAAACTTGCACAAGTTTCTTTAATTTTCAACCTAAAAGGTAAAAACAAAGTCCAGTTCAAATGTACTACTGTAATAATGAGACAGTTATTTCACACAACTCTTAATTAAGGATTTCCCTGAGGTTCCTGAGGGCACTAAAAAAGTACTCACAATGCAGTTCTCTACACTTAAAAATGTGATTTAATGGAACCCATTGGATCATTATAAATAAACTTTTGTGCACTTTGCTGATCTGTTTAGTTGTTCTGTCTGCCAGGAGACTAAAGTCTGAGCAAAACTGGAAGCTATTTGGGAAATACCACCTGATACAACAGTTCTCACCAGAACTGATGCACTTTAGCCTAAAGATAAATGAACTTCATACTGAAGTTTTTACTATGAACTTACACTAAATAACACAGCTCACTTCAGTTAAATGAAATCATTTGCCTTTAGGTCATTGTGTCAACCTGCACTGAAAACACAAGCAAATGAACAGAACACCAAGCTGCCTGGTACCCCTCTAGCTCCTTGGTATCATCATACCTTTTTTGTTTCAACTGGCTTTGGTTTGGCACTTTCCTCTTCTTTCTGCACCTTCAAATTTTTTTCTGGAAGCACATTCTGACTTCCCTGGTAAACCAGTCACAAAAAATGAAAAGGTTTTCAGAATTAAAAAACAAACAAAAAAATTAAATTAGAAAAAAACAGAACTGTCACATATTTCTAAAGATTCAATAGTAAAGGGGAAATAAGTAATGAAACTTAAAATTGCTAGACTAGCAGATGTTCAACTAAACTTAAAAATAGGAATCTTGGGCAGGATTTTCAAGCATATCTGCAATACCAAAGTCCTTGAGGCTTTGGGGAGCCTGTAGGTGCTTCCATAAAACACAAATGGCTGGTAACTATAGATGGTACCTGGCATAACTGAACTGTACAACACCCAATGACAAAAACTGATTTCAAGGACTCTGCCCCACCTGCTTCTCATTTTCTGACAATCTCACATCAACATGTAAGATCACAAGTCCCACATTACAGCAACAACAATAAATCCCAAATTTGTAGTGACCATCTGTAAGCCTTGTAAGACACTGAAGACACTTTCAAAACTGTGTGTATGTGCAACAACTATTCCACCATCAGTCACGGCAGAAGAGCTGAGTATTTCCTGCAGCAACACCCCATGGAACAGAAAGACTCCCCCAGCTGCAACTCAATCCCACTGTTTCTGTTGCACTCACTTCCCTGCTGGGAATGGATATTCCTCTAGACTCAGTCTGTAGGAACTGAACCTTTGTGGCAATTTGCTCTCAGGTAAATGGTTCACAGGACTGTTTCCCAGCGCAGTCCTGTTTCCTGGGAAGTTAGTTAGTAGTTCGCTAGTGGAAAAACACCCCCAGTATACTCACAGGACTGCTATTGAAACGTGAGGGCAGCCTCCTACCAGGCATCTTGGGCCGGTTCGCAGTCGGGTGTGACAGATTATCTGAGGTAGCTATTACATCATCAAAGCTTAATGGATCTAGAAAAAGATGGAAACAAAGACCACCATCAAGATCAGAAAGTTTTGCTGGGTTCTTTTTATCACTTTATTTTCCTTAAGAAGAAAAAATAAAAAAATCAGAATTCTTGCTATTTTAAAGATTTTCAGCATATACAACACAGGAGCCACATGAAACAACTAACTACATGACTTCGACATACCTGGGAAATCATATTTTCCCCTTCAAAAAAATTAAGAATTAATTGAACTAGGATTTAATTTCAAGTTATGAACAGAAGTGCTGTAGTAGTATGGCAGCATAAAACAAACTTATCAAGTAGCTGCAGAAAAACATAATATTACTTCTTTCAAGAGCTGCCATATTCAACTACTTGAGAGCATATTTTGTTATTGCTAAACTTGTATGAAAATGCAAGTTTAGTGACCAAGACAAAAATAAAGGTAACCTAGTAAAGTACACACTGGGGTACTCCATGCATTGGTGAAAGTAAGTTAACAGCATTAACTGCACATACTTCTGTGCAGGTACTTTTTTTTTATACGCAGTATCTAAAGATAATACACAGCTTCATAAATCTGTAGTAAAACACTTCAAAACTCCATTCTCATACTTCATTAAATCTCATCAGTCTCTTTATGCTCACAGCTCTAGTAAACTCTCTCTCAGATCAGCAGAAATGCTTTATGTCCTCTGAGAAGAGCCAATTCAGGGAAAAAAACTATTAACAGAGAGAACTGAACATAACTAATCTAAAAACACAAGTACTTCACCTAATTAACAACTGGACTTCTTAACTATTTCACCACAAAAATAAACATACTTACCTGGCAACAGATGTGTAGTGAGATTGAGTTGTGATTTTTATTTAAGCATTGACATAAGATTACAGTTATTATATATCATTTTACAACCCAAATTCATCACTTATTTTATTGACTTTAACTAAAATGCCACACAACATTTACTACAGGCACCAAAAGTAATATTTAAGATTTTGGGTTTGATTTCTTTTTTGTGACCTCTGATTCTTCCTTGACATTATGATTTAGTGAACAAAATCTATGATACTTCTTTCCCTATGTTTTCACTCATTTTGAATCTACAGCAAGAGGTCAGATGAGAATAAAATCTCCAGTAAAGACCGAGCCAGACCACTCATACCCCTTCAGTGTCTGGATGACTTAAAATAATCTGATTATTCCAAGTTTTACTCACACATTGTAAGCTAATTTATACCTGCACGTACTGAGTTTTCCACTGAATGTTTTAATTGATTTTAATGTCTTCTCTGCGTTAATATCCTTGAAGTCCTTAAAACATTCACCTCTTCTGGACAGCCCTGATTGGATCTACTTCATCCCCCACTGCCTTGTTGAAATGAAAGCATTTGTAACACCATCTCTTAACAACCAGTTTTGCTGCTTTTACGTCTACTAAAGAGAATGTCAAAACAGTCTTTTGCAAACATGCAACCCTATCTGCAATTAAAAAAGCAGGGAAGAAAAATAAAGAAGGGAGAAACAGAAGAGTGATGGATGGCAAGCAGATGATGGAAAAGAGGATGAGGGGGGAATAAATGTGAAGGGATTTCTGTTGCCAATACAACATTTAATACAAGACAAGCAACAGTGACCAAAGGGTGTATCTACATGGTCTTTACTCAATTATCAGTGATCCCAGAGTACTAACCCATCACAGAATCACAGAATGGTTTGGCTTGGAAGGGACCTTAAAGAATACCTCATTCCACACACCCCCACCACAGGCAAGGACACCTTCCACTAGACCAAGTTGCCAAAATGTAAATTAGGATTTATGTTCAGTATTATTAAAAAGGTAATAAGAAAAATGTTTATTTCCCCCATCTCAGTAATTTCTGACTGTAAACAATCCTCCTTTTGTCATTCTGCAGAAATGACAAATCATTTGGTAGGAAATTTAAATAATAACTATAAATTGAGTTGCTGTTATGACTGTAATGTCAGCCCTGTCTCTGTGAACAAAGCAAACATGAGGCATATTAAGAATATTAAGAACTTACTAAGAATAATGTGATGTTCTGGAAAAAAAAAAAAATCACAGTATTTGAAAAGGTCTGAAGATCAAGACTGCTACAGTCTTGAACTGTAAATTATTTAAATATAGATGGTGGGATGACACCAAAGCCAAGAAGTTTTTCCACGTTACTAGGAGCTTCTAAAGGAAATTGTTACACCTGAGAAAATTGCTCAGCATTAAAATATTACCAGCAGATTACAGCTAGAGGGAATTAGGACTGCACTTGCATTTTCATTTTTACCTCTCCATTGGTATAGGGAAGAAATTAGAACACAGATTGGTGGGGATTTGGGTTTGTGGTTTTGGCGGTGGGTTGGTTGGTTTCTTTACAGGCTTAGGGGGATTATTTGATTGTTTCTCTTTTTAAACAGCATTTTTAGTTATTTTAAGAGAAAATTAAACCAATAAACCTTCAAATCAATAGACATACTGATGAAACCCACTGTAAATTCACAGTTTACACCCATTTCAATGAATAAAGTGATTTTCAATTAAGATTCTTACAAACAGCCTGTAACTGTTGAAGGAAATCCCATCATAGTGCCAAAAGAGCAACACCACACATCTGGGGATACTCTGGGTCAAAACAGGATTTTAAGGCTGAGCAAGGACACCTTTTTTTCTAAACAGACAAGCTAAGCTTTAACAGTTACACAGGATGGACTACTAGAAATGTCTCTTCTGCAAGCTTACCATGGATCCATCACAGAACTGTTAGGAGCTTTGGTATAATAAGTGAGAGGTTTTGTTAAGATTTGTGAATGTATTCACAGCAGTTGGCCTTAAAAAGCCTTCACAAAAAGAAGCAAAGCTGAAGGGGTGCCCGAAGAAATTATGATTCCACTACCTCATGTGGCTGGGGTTTAAAACCCCAAGATACAAGTGAAATGTATCCAATATTTTAGAGGACAAAATCTCACATTAATCTGCAGAGTAAGAAGATGGCAGCCCTTTCTCCTGTTCCTCATCCTGCTGAGATTTCACCCCTCCAAAATTTAGGGGACAGATGCAAGCTTTCAAATATTTTTATGAGCACTCCAGCAATAGTGAGGTATTTGCTACAATTAAGAATGTGTCTAATACAGAACTTCTAAAACTACTGTTTTACAAGACTCATGATAATAAATAGTCAACACTAGTGGATCCACTGCCTAAAAGCTTCATAATTGCCTAATTTATGTGTACAGAATCATAAATCCCTTCAACCTATATATACCTAAAGGTACTGAACACATTTCACTACAAACAAACACGAGGTTTGGCTTATCAATAGCTGAAATAGTTTTTTCTTATTTGTTTTAATTCCCACAAGTTCCTAACTGAAAAGCATACTTAAAGTAACTTCTTTAACAGCTAAGGAAAACAGGCATTCAAACAAACAAAAAAAGCATTTTAAATAGAAACTCCAAAGTTTTACTACCAGTAACTGCAACTGAAAATCACGCTTATGATGTTAAGAAGAGGATATGTGTATGGAATAAAGCATTTGGATTTCCTTATAGATTGTTCTCTTACCAAAATGGAGAAGGGTAGGGTAATTTCCTGACACGTAAGAAGGGAAACATGGCAAACAGGATAGGAAACAAAATCTGGAAAGAAAAGTCAAGGAGAGGAATGTCTAGAAAAAGATTCTGAACAAAAAAATTATTTTACAAAGCAGGAAAAAGGAACATTTGTAGAAGAAACAGAATTGCTTTACATGTTCAGCATGCCAGTATTACAGCTTTAGTCTTTTACAGCACTTGAATTCTAATCCATCAGAGAAACATTTATGCATTTTTTTCAAATAACACTTCAAAAGGAGCTATTTCAATGTGATCAATGTTTCTGAATTGTTTTGAGTTTTTGTTCTCATCCAATGGCTGGGGGCCTAATTTTGGTAGCGTAGGCTGGTTTCTTCCTTACAGAATACGTACAGCTTCTCCTTATGCTAAGTTGAAAGTGGCTCAACCTACACCACACTAAGTTGCATAAAAGCAGAACCCACACTTAAAAATAAATTGATTTTCTAAAAATTCATTCACTTCAGGATCATAATCTAAAGGTGGAGGGGAGGAACTAAAAATAAAGACTCTGGTAAAGCAGTTGCCAGTCTCAGCCATACATTTTCCCTCATCTTTTAGTATCTATTCTGCTTATTTTAAGATTTAACAGCCTTAAACTTTATATAAGGACCCAACATCTTTTGAATTTCATATAGCCTTGATTGCACAGAGAATTATGTCTTTAGCAGCACAATAAATACACGGAAATAGAGCATGAGATCCATTATGTTTTACTGGCTGGATTTTGGACTAGTGTCTTTTCACAAGAGTAATAAAAGTGACTAATGTGGATTGTTTTATGGAATGTGAGTTTGACATAATAGAGGATCCCCACATGGACTCCCTGAGCCAAACAAGGGCCACTGAACCCACAAGCTTGTCCTGCACCTCTGTCCACTGCACCATCTAGGTGTTAAAAACTTCCCTTTCTCCATAAGCCTGAACAAACTTATGCCAACAAAACAGAATTCACAGATTTTTTTTTTCAAAATATGTCTAAAACTGTGGGGCTCTATATATATGAACACCTAATATGTTCATATATTCATAACATATATTCATATATATATTCATAACAGCTTCTATGTTACCACTGTAAAGATGTCAAGATAACTGTACCTGAAGAAGAAAAAAAATATATTCCAGATGTAGCGAGTTTTTTCCTGAGGTTAAATGACACTGTGCTATACAGTAACACATCTAATACAACCCCAGAGATAATCACAGCATGATAGAATGGTTTGGGTTGGAAGCACCTTAAGATCATCTTGTTTCAACCCCCCTGCCGTGGGCAGGGACACCTTCCACTAGACCAGGTTGCTCCAAGCCCCATCCAACCTGGCTTTGAACACTTCCAGGGATGGGGCAGCCACAACTTCTCTGGGTCACTTGTGCCAGGGCCTCATCTCCCTCAAAGGGAAGAACTTACTTCTAGTATCTAATCTGAGTAGTAGGGCAAGGCTCACATTTTAAGGTTAGGTTTGCATCCCTCTTTCATCTCTCAGCTTATTTTGGCCTGGAAGTCTTTCTTCCATACCCTCACTCAAACTCATCTTTAAGCAGAGGCAACAGTCAAAGTGCCAATTCAAAAGCTTTAAAACAGGGCATATCACAGCACAGGTACAGACTTTCTGGGAAATAAAAATAACCTTATTCTTTAGGGTATCACTGATTATATCTGTAGTATTTCCAGGATATATGATTACCTGCTGAAGTCCAACTTTTTGCAGCTCAGGAAAATATAATTCTTGTACTACAAACAAACAAGAACTAACCTCTACTCATACCAAGCATTTTGGTTCAGAAGCACATTTTAAAATGCTTAATAAAAAAATCAGGAGCACTCTTTTCTATTCATAAACTGCTTCAGTTTTTCTAATGCATTATTTTTATCTTCCAGATGAATTTATTAAACTTTAGGACCAACTATTCCACAACCAGAATATTGCAATTGGCCTGAAAAAATTAAAGAAATCAAGTTATACTACTTTAAAATGCATTATTACTAAAACCTTTTCCGAGATGAAAAGTTGCATTGGAGATATGCAAGACATGTACTGAAAGTACAAGTCACTAAAGCTTTTTATACGCTAGTTAATCACACAATTAATTTGGAGTTTGGAAAAATATGCCCACAGAAGGTGATCTCTGCCTAAGAGAAACATAGAAGTCTCATATCAGCTGCACTGTCAGTAAAGGACAAAAGGTAACTATACAGTAGCTCAGTCTGATCCTCAAATATGGGTCCTTCAACCAGCATTAAGGTTTTTACTGGATATGTCTAGAATGAAAGAGATGCCAGGTTTGGCTCACGGTGCATTAAGCAAAGCCTTATGCATGAAATTCAAATGTACAATGCTCATGCTGGCCCAAATTTAAGGTATGATAAAGTCATAACCTAGAATAGCTCTGAACTTAAGAAGGCTGAAGGTAACAGCATTACTAAAAATGCACGAGTTAGCTGGAAAAGCAAAAGTTATCTGAAATGCAAGAGCAGAACAAACAGAACCAGTCAGTAAGAAAAACAACTTCATAAAAACTCAAGATAAAAGTAGCAGCTAAAAAAACATGCATTCAAATTAGAAGAGCAAACTGTTACCTCCATTTCCCCCTTCCTGTCCACTGTTACAACCCAGGGCTCATCAGCCACCTCCAAAGACCCTGCTGACATCTGTTCATCCCTTCGCCCCTTCCTCACTCTTACCTTCAGCGATTCTAAAAAACTACACTTTCCACTGAGCAGGCAAAACTGCACTCACTGGTACTTTGAGTAAATGACCTGAAACGCTTATTCCAACCCTGTAAAACACTGCAATCCAAAGAAAGACCCAAAAGAACATTTTACTCTTTTCTTACCTGATTCTTTAGAGCTCTTTACCACAAGTGAATCTACCTCTACTGATTTTGGTCTATGCGGTAACGGTTCAGAGTCTAACTTTGGTTTTGCTACTGGCTCAACTTCAGATTTCGGTCGAAGAGAAACAACTTCTCCATTAGTTCTGTAGTGAGAAAAAAACCAACAAAACATATCTAGTCAAGAGATTAAATAGCTTAACAGCAAAACATTCCAAGAGTTAGATGTAAATGGAAAAATATCATTTTTTAAAGCCTTGGTTAAAATCAAGTCTTTTGGAGACAAATTTTATTCCTTTATATAGAAGTCAATTCTTCTGTTCCAGCTCTTGTAGAATTGTCAAACATGTACAAATCTATTTTGAAAATAATCCAGAACTTTTACTACAGAGCACACTTTGGCACTGCAATCCAAAGTATTACACTTCAGAAAACAAGCGAGCTAACATCTTCAGCAATATATCTTGAAATAATTTAGAATCTGACTCCTTGAAATTAAACAAATATTCCTGTACAGAAAAAAACCTGCCAAGAACAACTTATTTCTTGTTGGGTATAGAATAAACCATCCTGTATATATGGCTTTTCTTCTACCATGCATTCTGTGCATATCTGCTCACATTATTCACAGACCCAAAAATTAAAAAAACCAACCAACCACCAAAAAACCCAAACAAATAAACACCCCACCAAAATAAATAAACAACAAAAAAAGAACAGATAACATTTTCCTTTCAAATTCTTGCCATCACAAACCCTCGCTGACTGGGCCTGTACATGCCATATATAAACTGACCAGCTGTCACCTTCAATGTGTCCCTATCGTTAATTCACCACCTAAAGCCTTTATTTGGAAGTTTTACTGCAACAGAAAAAGACACAGCAGCCTTACCTTCCTAGAACAATTTCAAACTTTCAGACATTTAAATACCTCTAAAATTTAAAGGTTTCAATTACTAAAGGCTACAGACCTCTACTTAACTGCACACTTACAGCCCCTTTAGAGTCGTAATTATTTTCTAAACAAGAGGGCATAACTTGGGGTTTAAAAAAAATTTAAAAAACCACTTTACTCAGGAAAGTCCCCAAATACCAAGTCAATATAACACAATTGTATACTGAAAAGGTATTTAAGGTGCAAGCTCTTTGATGTAGCAGCTGTCTGCTCCTTTATTTGCACAAGGCCAAGTGCATCATGACCTTACTTCCTCAAAAGTTCTTTCAAGCCAACTGAACATCCCAAGGGGACAGTTACCCATCAGCAGTTTATTTACAGTTCTGGGTAAGGATCTAGCAAATACTTTGATGGAGAAAGAAAGGAAAACTGTGTGGGAGAATACAGTGATGTAAAATTAGTCTTAGAGAAATACTATAAAAATTGTTTCTATTTCATGAGAAAAAAAGTTAAGTGGATCTAAAAGAAGTATTTGTCCCCATTTGTCCAGTAACCCAACTGGGAGGGCTGATCAGCACAGAGAGTCAATGTGCTTCTGTAGTAAGTGCCTTTTTCCCCCCAGAGGAGAACATGAGCCACACTGAGTGCCTTCAGCACACATACTACCTGTGCTCAATTGTGCCTTTCCATCTATCTTGTCCCATACAAAATGCTGAAATACTGAACCCTGAGGTAGCTCAAACCTTCAGGGGTTTTTTCAACACAGTAATAATTCTCAAGGGCCATGTCCCCAGATTCTTCTATACCACCATGCTACTGTAGCTACAGCTTCTACTACAGTGTGTGGCAGGCTTAAAGCAAAGCAGCCCCCAGGTGTGTGACTTCATCTGGTTAGTTAAGCCGTAATACTGACTGAGAGGGATTCAATGTCTCAGAGAGTTTGAAAGGTTTAAATTCACATCGATAAAGACTTGTTGGAAAACCAAGACACTGGTTGGTGTAGGGCAAAGTTTATCCTTTTCACCCTTAAAACACACATTTCTTCCCACCTCAGCCATGAAGGAAGATCAAACAACGAGCCAAATAAAATATACTCAGTGCACACAGTTTAAGTTGTACTGACTTGGGTGCAGGTGATGGCAAACCAGGTTTATCCAGACGCTTTGGGTGCAGGAGTCCTGCTCTCAGTAAGCTGTTGGTCTTGCTTGGAGGAATAGGCTTCTTGGGTGGTACTTGAGGAGCTTGTGGTTTCAAAGGCTTCTGATCCAAAGCTCCTTTTTCATCTGACAAAATAAGTTACTATTTTAAAAACCCAGTGCTGTCTAGAAAATTCTTACACCCTTAATCCATCAGAAAGCAACTGCTATCAGAAATATCTTCTTTGAAGATCAAAGTAAAAAAGGTATGTCTTAAGTGATGCCTTATCAAAACTACTTACCTGAACTTAAAAAACATTATCTTAAAGTAAGCAAAATGTCCTTCTCCTGACATGAAACCATAGTAAGAAATTATGGATCACATTATCACACTACAAATGACAGCTAGGAACCAAGAGTCTCTCTGTACTGCTACTGCTTTATCCTATTTATGGATTCACCTTATCTCCTTTTAAAAAGACAGGATTTGGGTTTTATTTTGTTCTAACCAGATTTCTTCCGTGCACGCAAGCAGTATAATTATCTCTGAGAAATAAGGGGGGAAATGAGTATTTACCTAAATAGCCAAACTTATTTTAGATAAAGTCTACCTTCCTATAAATAGATGGGAATTAAGTAAGAATAATCAAACAAAAAAGTTAAATTTATTTTTCAGTGACTGCATGACCTAATTGAACACTGTCCAGAGGAGCTGACATATTACCTGGGACACTGAAAAACTCAAGCTGCTTCACGAATATTAGTTGAATACTTTTCAACCCATGTTCCCTAATCTTATCTTGTGGGATATCGAGAGCATACCTTCTACTTTTTCCTGTAAAACTATGCCACAGTTCCATCAGGCATGCACAAAGTAGTGAGGATTTTAAAAAAAATAATTGTTAGGTTACAGCTTTTTACAGTTACTGTCCTTATAGGGCAGTAAATTAGTAAACTGGGGTGGAGAGAGTGACCTTCAACATTGATTCTCCTCATCCTTCCCTCCTATGACTTTGCTTTTAACCAGGTATTGATCTAATGTAAAATGTTTGCATATGGTATGGATTTGGGAGCAGGGGCGGGTATTTGCCTTAGCTCCATGCCAGCTAAGTGCCTGAACCGCCAGGTCTGTGACTGATTTACTGTGGACAAGTCCTGCCGCCCCTGAGTGTCAGTCCTCCAACCCTAAAATGGGAAGAGGCCAGTTTTCTTTCACACAAATCTCTGGAAGTAAACAAATCCTAGAGATCCTTCTGCCAAAAGCATTGTCCAGGGCAGAACTGCCTTCCTGCTTCGGGACACCTGAACATCAGTAGGAGTTATGAACAAAAAAATCTAAACTGGTTGGCAACACCTTCCAGTCCCTCTCAACACGGAGTTAAAAAAGCAGGATGGTGGAGCAGCGGAAGCGTTTGCCACACGGTGGTGCTGGCTGCCCTGTGGAAAGCAGCCCCTCAGCAGCGCCAGCCACTCCTTCCTCCTCACCCTACACAATGTTTACATTTTGAATGCCCAACAGCAGCCAACATTAACCGCAGATCAATTGGCTTCATTTAAGCGATGGTGAACACAAGTTGAGAATTACCCCTTTTGCTTTTAAGAGTAAGTGGGTTCATAAACAGGGCAGAAAAGGTGCTGTCATCGAATCGTATCCCTGAATTCTTATCTGCCAGTTTTCCCTTCAATTACTCCCACTCAAAATCTGAATATAAAAACTGTATACAGCCAAGTGGAAAAAGTTAACACCAAAGGTCAAGGTTCACCATGAGCACAGAAACTGGACATTTCTGCTGGACAAAATGACATGCTTCTTTCTTGGATTTTGCTCCCCAGTGAGAAAGGGGGTTGGCTTAAAAATCAGCAGTTTAACAGTGGAAATAAAGATATTAATCTGAAGGCATTTACACTGGATAAAAATTTCTACATGACACCACTAAGTGTCTTTCACTATAAATACAGAAATACTTACAGGAGTACTGCTTTTAATTTTTGATCACAATTAAAGGCAGATTTATAAGTCTCCCAATAGGCATAAAAAATTACATGGTTTGATAGCTCGTGATTAGAGCTGCTCAATTAATACTTTTTTTTCCTCAAAAAGTAATTACAGAACGATTTCATACTTAATGACTTTAATCACTAGTATTAACACATGGTTATTCTTCCACAAGTACAATTGCACTGATAAATGGGCAGTAAAACACAATTGCTATCTAAAACAGTAACTTTTAAGGCCTGACCTGAAACTGAATATAGATCAAACTTTTCCTTCATCATCTCCTGTACCTCAGTAAAGGATGGTTCTCTACATAATTTTTCAGAAGCTTTCACATGCCTAAGTATTTTGGATGGTTTCACTCAATATTTTTTTTCCTATATTCCTCCACTAACAGTTGAGCTCAACTATGAGAAGGTTAACAACAAGGTACAAACACACCAGTCTAAAATTAAACTTATTTCCATTTAACAGAATTTAAAAAGAGACCAGTCACCAAAATTTTTGGAATCATAGAACTGATCTCAAGTCACACCTGGAGATACTGTTCCAACATAATCTATTTGCTCACATACAGAACAAACAGAGCTGACTTTAACAAGTATTTTCATATGCAACACCTGAGAAGGTGCTTTGTTTAAAATGGGGGTTATAAAAACTTCTCAAGGAAGCCAAGAAACCCATGGAGCAGGCTCACTTGTAGCAATGCTGGTCAGCCACAGCTCACCATTCACAGAACAGTGTGGTTTTGTAATTTGGTTAAGCTGCAGTAACATCAGAACTTCTTCTACAAGGCCCAAACTTTTTTTTGAAGCTTCTCACTTTTAAACGCAACCAAAACACTGTGACTAGACAAGTTTTTCAAACATGTAAAGATGCCTTTTAGAAATGTGTTTGGTGACAGCTTATGTTCTCAAAAAAACTGCCCTTTAAATTTTAAGAATAGATCAGTAAATGTCTCCAGATTGTGTGGAACTTGAGAACAGAATACACCAATTAACAGGAAAAGAAATCTCTGTATCTGAGCATTGTGACTTTAACATCTGTCTAAGGAGTAACTGTTCTGTGCAGTTCTTTCAAAGTATTTTCAATCAGAGACTGATTTTGGCCAAAACCTTCAGAAGCAGCAGTTAACCTTTTCATTTCTAGTAACTTATTACTGCTATTCAAAACTGCAGTCACTGTCACAAAACTACCCTTACACGAATTTAATTTACCTATGTTACTGTGCAGTGAAGTAACCCATTTTCAGAATGTAATGCGATTACAAGAAATAAACATTCCAAAAGAGTGTAGCTGTTGTTCTAACCTCTCCAGAGACTTCTCTGTAATATCACAAACACAACAACTTCAGCAGATGGTATCAAGAGAGTCTGTATGATGTCTCCTGAACAGGGAGCCTACTTCCAGAGCAGACAAGCCAAAAAACTGTAATTTGTTTACAAGAGCATGGTCTGAAATCCACTACGAAGGAAAGTGGTCTCACCTTTTTCTTCAGACTTCAAAGACGGGAATTTCTTCTCTCCAGTTGGCAATTCAGGCCTCAGAGCTGAATGAAAAAGCAAGCCATAGACATTTCTCAAAGAGCCTTAATTATCTTGGTCACTAACTAAAAATAAGACACACACCAAGCTGTGTTTATATTTTTTCCTCTGCAAGGAGTGTAATACTATTTATAATCACTCACTTGAGCCTAGAAAATGGCAAGCCTGTATTAAAATGTTTCCAAAGCAGGCTCCATCATAATTTGGAAAAATACACAGCAGCAGCAAAATACACAAAGCATGAACAGTAACCTCGAAGTGTGACTGTGGGTGGCTGCATTACTAGGAAACACAAAGCTACTTCTGAATTTTCATTTGAAATCACGCACTGCTTCTGAAATTTAGTATTTCCTCAGACATGTACCACCATAAACATATAACATACCTGGACCTTTAACTGGAGGTGGAGGTTTCTTTGGCTTCTGCAAAAATGGAAAAAAAAAAAAAAAGAGTCAAATAAGAAAACAGATATCAGATATTCTCTAAAGCCTCATTTGTGTTTTGTTTTGCATACTGTAACTTCAAGCTTGTTTACTAGCTGATTTCAAAGTACTTCACAAAGGAGGCAATCAATTTACAGACAGGAAACACAGAGAGCTGGAATAATTCCTCTGATATCTCTCAGACAAGCAGTTGCAAAAACAGAAACAAAATGCAGGTTTCTTCAAATCCAATCAGTGCTTCAATAATGTGTATAAACAGCAGAGGGAAAAAGAACTAATACCCAAGTATTATATCTTTCCTAGTCTAATGAATTGTTCTGATCACTCTCATTTTAATTTCAATATGTAAACCGCAATTCAGTTTACAATCCAGTACAACGCCAGTTTAAAAGAGTAACCTGGTAATTTTTTGGACCAAAAATTGCCCCTTTCACTAAAACAAAAAAAGCTTCTAAATTAAGTATCACATAATGACTTCAATTGACTTCTAAATTACAAATGTAAGAGAAAAAAATAATTACCAGCATTTCTCTCATAAACACTGCAGTTATAAGAAAAATACTGCTTTGAGTTTCCTTATCACTGTGTGTTTAAGTGGGAAAGAAGGTAAAACTACTCTAGCCATTAAAAATTTACAAAGTATCACAATGCAACAGTTTGTACATGGAAATTGACTGTTCTGAAACACAGTCACCCACTACTCCTTTCACTTCCCTTGAAGTGATACAATTGAATTTCAACCTCTCCTGCTCAAAGAGGACTGGCACCTCTCAGGACTGATGATCTCAGTCACTCATTCTCAGAATCTGATTCATGAAATTGCTGTAGAAGAGGTGCGTTTATGGTTGTACTAAGGAGCAGGCTCGCTGATAAAAGATCACAAAAGCCTACTAAACTACCTATTCTTCAACCAGACACTGCTGAAACCACACCAGCTCAGTCTAACATAGCCCCTCCAAAAAGTGCCTCATAGTTGGTATTTTTAAAACAGTTGCTATGGATAGATTTCACTTCTGTGTCCCTACTGCTATCGAATAAGCTCTTCTTAAAGCACCAAGATTTTATTCTGACACACGAAATGTAATTAAGCAAGTGGGGAACCCATATCCGATTTCCTCCTTGAGTTTCAGAGGACACAAAGGCAAGTGAACTTAAGTAACAAGACTGTATTTTCTTTCTTTCCCACAAAAGCAACTACACTATCCAGCTGTGCAGCATTGCTGCCTACATCAAAACCAATTACACTGAGAGTCTGGCATCAATTTGCCATTGTATGATTCTGCTCTGTGTTTTTAATAAAGTTGATATCAAATAGCTGATTACAATAATCAGCCACCCAGTGCCTTGAACCTCAAAGCTTCTCAGTGTGCACTGAGACACACGACACAAAGCTGAACACAGGATCAAAGCAAGGTCTGTCTAAGGAAATGCTCTTTATGGTAGAAGAATGGGTGTTTTCCTCCTCTCTCAAGGGAGCAATTCTGTGTTGTGAGAGTGATATCACCCACCCACCACTCAAATCAAGTCATGTGTGTATTAAAGCATTTATGTAACCCCTGCACAGCTGAGAATCCACGTGAAAAGAAAGCGCTGACTTGGGGGAGGTAGATTTTCTGTGCAAGTGAGGCAACTCAGGTTAAATGATAAATTACTAACTCCTGATCTGGAGTTGAATCCATCCCACCTGGAGATGACATACATTTGCGAACTAACAGAACCAGCTTTGCTACACCCACTTGACAGATCCAAAACATCACACTAATCTCAACCAGAAAAAAATTGTAAAATGAGAACCAAAATTACAAGGTCAAGGAGTACCACAGGAAAACATGAATTTCTACAAGTTAGCACATGAAATGGTGAAAAAAAATTTTCTAAATCCCACCCAAAGATTATTCTTCACACACTGTAACCTACTAGTAAGTGTTGACATGGAAAAATCCCAGTCAGTCCCAGAGGAGTCATTCAGTTTTTTGCAATTGTAAGTTACTTATGGACTTCAGATGGAAGAGACCAACTGCTTATCTCCTTTCAAAACAGTAAGGGTTTAATGCAGTAACCAGTAAAACATAACATCACATTAACAGAGCTATATCCTTTTCTGTAGGAAAAATCATTCCCATTAATTACAGTTCATCAAGAAAAGCATATTTAAACACAGTAAGTTTAAACACAAAGATTAACCTTTACACCTTCCTTCGTTGCTACAGCTAAGTCAAGATAAAGTTAAAACTGCCACAACTGCAATATTTTAAGCAGCATAGAGTGCTGTGAAACTTCTTTATTCTTTGCTTGGTCATCAATACTTTTTCGTGATACTGAATGATACACGTAAGAACTTACAGGGAAGTCTTTATCAGACTCTTGTATTTGAACAGCAAAGTTATCTGGGAAGAGTCCTTCTTTACCATTGAGCTCTCCTTTCCACCAGCCTGGCTCTCCAGTGTCCTAAAACGAACAACAGGTCACTTGAATCAATATTTACTTCTTCCACAGGAGAGATATAGTTGAAGGAAAAACTTTTTTCCTTTTACACACAACTTTGGTCTGAAACACTGTGTTTATAAGAGGAATACTTTGGCCACCTTAGGAACAGGAAACAGCTACAAATCAGGTCAGGTTTGATCAATTTTTGTTTTCTAATAAGCAGGATTAAATGGTATTACATCATATATAAGATAAGGGTATAAGGATAAGATCTGCAAAGAGAAGGAAAGTACGCACATGACCTAACACACAACGTTCAACCTTCTCAGCTTCCTTGACCAGCAAGTTATGTTATTGGAGTGACACACAATTCTGACTGTGGATCAGTGATTCTGATGTGGTAGATCAGATCCACTGCTCTGAAAGGGTGAAGATGCAAAAGGATATACTCTGCTGAGGGAAAAAATAACCATATACACACATAAGAAAATAAAATAATGGAGAATTAATTCAGTGGCACAGAAATCCATTACATGATGCTACTGATCAAGGTCTTTGTCCATAACAGAAACTATGATGTTACTGGACTATTTTAGCAGCATAAATAACAGCTTTCCTCTGTGCCTCAGATCTAAAATTCTGCAGGTAAAGGAGTAGGGGGAAAATAAAATATCAAATATTATTTAAAATCCCACCCTCTGCAAAACTAAAGGAGATATCAATAGAATAAGGACCTGAATAGGTGATTAGTGCTGAAAGTAAGAGTTTGAAAAGGTTTTGTTTCTTTTTTCCCCTCTGTCAGCCTTTGGATTAAGTATTAGAGTCCAATTTCTGAACACTATGCAGTTGTGAATGGGATAAGGCATCTACAGCTAAAATCCATTTAGCCAGTACTGAGGAGTGGTGGAGAGCCAGAGAGAACTCATGGAAAACTGTCATCTGCAGAACATACAGGAAAAAAGACAGCCAAGGGGGACAGGTTTTACACAAAGCCCAAGTGCTGAAAGAGAAATCACAGAATCACAGAATGGTTTGGGTTGGAAGGGACCTTAAAGATCCTCCAGTTCAAACCCCCTGCTACTCACTAGCCCAGGCTGCTCAGGGCCCCATCCAGCCTGGTCTTGAACACTTCCAGGGATGGGACAACCACAACTCCCCCGGCAAAATACCTTAACACTTGGCCAGACCAAAACCCTTGTCTGAGGCAGCCACCTGGAAGTTACATTAATACACTCAGACTTCAGAAGATGGTTTTGGAGCGAGAGCTCTGCTCTGGACAGCTCTTCTTGGTCCCACTGTGGACCAGTGCATGCTGAGGATAAACTGGTTTAAAAAAATAGAGGCAAGAGATTCAGTGAACATGGGACAAGGGGCTGCTGTGTTTAAAAAAATGCCTTCCATAACTACTTTTTTCCATTGTCATTACAGTCAGTGATGATCATAACATCAATTTTCTTGTTAAAAAATAAGGTCATCCTTTCCATAAAACTAAAATCCTCCTACAGAAATGGAAGTGTTGGTTTTCCTCTGCAACCGTGTGATAACTGAAGATGAAAGTTCCCACTTTTTTTAGGAAAGTCATTATTCCTTAATATAGCAGCAGATAAACTAACAAAATGCTGCAGAGAACTGCAGGGAAATTAGGTATGCTTAGGTTAATTTCCTGCTTAGAGCCATCTCTGCAACAAGATGATCTATCAAAAAGGTGCTTTCAGCATTCAACACAGATGAGAATGTTCAACTAAATAATCATGTTTCTCTAAATAGCCAGACAGTATCATTAACTTCTGTATGGTTATTCTGAAATACCCAGTACCTCTAACACCTGGACTTCATTCTCCTACTGAAAATATTTGCTCAGTTTTTTCCATAATATCTTGATACAGATCTTAATTTCTCACCTCTAGACACAATAATGCTTTTCAACTACTACCTCTAGGTCAGCCTGATACATCACCAGAGAAAAAGAACAAGTTCTGAACGTAAAAGTGCCATTTGCAAAGCTTTTCCAATTTCCTCACTGAAAAAGCTTTTAGTACTGAGTGTACACTGATCCCACTGGCCTTGATGACTCCAAGAAAACATCCCAATCTGGAACGATCTTTAAAGTCATCTGTATTTCCACCAAGTGCAGATGCAAAGAGCTGACTGTCATGAGACAAATCAGTCTACAGGAATATCTACTCCAACAGACTCTCCTGCTTTCACAACTCACATTACCTACCTGCACAAACCCCACAGAAGCTTCACATGTGGTTGGAGCAGACCACACTTCCTTACCTTACTGATTATTTGAATGATATCACCTTCTTTAAAGCTGAGTTCATCATTTGAGCCTTCATAGGAAAATACTGCCCTGTAATATTCCTTGGCTGAAACAAAACAGCACAATTAATTTGGATACCATGGGTAGCAACATACATAACACCAGCTCACTTCTGCTGTCTCAGAGCTGAGAAATTAACACTTTAATCACACTTCCCTTCTAAACCAGCCACCCAAGACTGCTTTATGAATGTTCAATATGTTGTTCATATCACAAGAAAAATAAGATTATGTATTTATAGAGTCATGACAATAAAGCTTTATAAAGTCAGGAGTATAAGCCCCAAACCATTTTTTCACAACAGGAACTTAATTCAGAGGGAGAAAAGGGGAGTTAAAAGTGTAACAGTTAAAATTTTAATAGCCCATCTAGTCCTCTCCATATCATTATATATTCAATTTTGAGCCACTTTAAACAAGAATGGTTTCAAGCTTAAGAGTTTATACATATTTTCTCAAAATTGATCCAAATTTCAAATTTGCGTCCTAATTAAATACAGGGAATTGTTTTCAAGTGACATCCTTTATTAACATAGAAAACTACAGAAACTTCAAATACTTAAAGCACCAGATCGGCTGAAATTCTGCAGCAAAACCAAGAAACTGAAGCTAAGGCGTTCCTTGGCTAAGCACCTGAAACCAGAGCTCATCTGAGCGATCATCTCTGACAGTCACAGCCTCTTCCACAAAAGCAGAAAGAAAAATTCTTTCCATCTGGTACAATTCAAAACTAATCCGTTTGAAATGGTGATAACAATTCGGGTGAAAAAGCAGGAGGGTTTGTTTTCCTTTCCCATGCCAGAACACAATCACCACAAGAAAGGTTAAAATATATAAACATAGAATGTTTAACCCCAGCACTTAAAATAACGCAGTGGATATAAAGCTTGAATTTCTGTATAAGAAGCACTAAGGAAGAGGAAGCAAACAAAAAGGACTCAAGGGTGTTGCTGTAACCTACCAGGTGTTTGGCACTGACAACACACACAGGTTGAGCAGCTGCATCACTCCCTGGTAGAGCAGCACAGCATCAAATCATTATGAAAATCATCTGCAACTCTTAATGACAGCCTTTGGCTGGGTGGTAAGGAAATTAATGAGCGAATTGCAGTCAAATCTTATTGCTGTTGTTACATTTTGTTAAATAAAGATACAAATCCTCAGTTTAAAAATGCTCAAATTGTATTCTCAAATAAAAATGTGTCTCAGTCAGTGACAACCACTATGCTAAAATGCCAAAAGTCTGCCAAGCTTAAGAGACAGATATATAGAGATATCTAAGTGGATGTACATAAGTATGTAACCACAAGAGTAATCCTAGCTACAAGAACTTGTATTACTTTGCTGCCTTATCTAGGGATCAGAAATGCTCAGCTGTAGATTGACTAAGCTGTGGTTTGTGAAGAACTACAGCACCGTAAGAACAACGTCAAAGAGATGAATGTTTAAACCGAGGTTCAAAAAACCTCATATTGACTCTTAAAAAAGACCAAAAAACAAAACAGGTACAATACAAATATCCTTCAAATTTGAGAACTTTATTCAGTAGTAATAAGTGTAATATATTTTGCTACATCCTGATTCTGTAAAAATAGATGCATTTCTTTACTGCCTGGGGAGTTGGTCAGTATAATCCTTTATATCCTCTGCTCCTCCAAGCATTTCTCCTCTCTTCACATACATCACAGCAGACAAAAAACGGTGCCAAAAAAGGGATCTTTCACTCTTCTCCAGGAGTGCTGGAGGAGGGGAGTCCTGCACCCTGTCCCCATGTGCTGGGCTGTGAACCCCAGCTTTCAGCACCACCAAGAAACCCAGCCATGTATGTAAAGAGTATGTACAATTTATCACTTTAGCACCTTATTTTGTGAGCCTGGTATTCTGCCAGTAATTAAGATGAAGAAAAGTTCAGTTTAACTTTGCAGCATTTAAACTTCAGTAAATATTTTTAAGAAAAGGTAGTTTAAAACTGAGTCTTTTCCAAAGTGTTGAGACTAACAACACAGTAGCAGAAACCACAGATATTGTATCCTAACATAATGGGGGCAAAGAGGGGTCAAATTATGATTATTTTACTTTTTAAAGAAAATATTTTTACATTCTTGCACCAGAGGCCAAAAAAAGCTTTCAGAAATAGCAGAACCCCACTGAAAAATAAGCTACACCAGTCTAAACATTTCAGAGATCTTTGTTTATCTGCTAACAGATGAACACAGTTTGTTTTAAACTTACTCTCTCAAACTGAGGATGAGATACATAAACCATAATATGGTCTATATTAAAATAAAAACACCAAGAAAGAAAAACAAGCTTTCCTCCTAAGGTTTTAAGAAGTTCTTATATGGTGTCTATAGGGCATTACCTACTGATGTTCTCCTACAGCTTATATTACTGTCATATTTAACTTCCTCTCTGATGTATTGGTTTCTCTGGGAAGCACAGACCCAGCAGGGTTACTGAGTTAGCCCAGTTTCTCTGGTTTTAGCACCTGAAATTACAAAGAGAGCTAAATGCTGAATGTTCTGGGTGTTCAGCACTGAATGCTCAGACTTTTTTAAGCAGAGTTGGGTTAATTTTTATGCAAAATTTTAGACAAGTCAAATTTCACAACACTCAGGGCTACACACTGTCAAGCTGGTTCTTGGAGCAATAGCAGTGGAATGGTTTAAAAACAAGATGTTGCAGTTTTCTTATTTCTGTAAATTATGCATTCCATAGAAAACAACACCCCAAAATAAGGTATTTCCACATAAGACAAAAATATACTTGAAATTACAATACATAAGTTGAAAAAATGCCTGCTGTGGAACCAGGGAAATGAGCTGTCTACACATCACATAACCAAAGCTAATTTTTTATATGGGGTTGGCACTCCCACGAGATGCTTTGGGGTGGATTAAAAATATCTCTCTAGACAGAACTCTCTAGACAGAACTATGCAATTTGGTGGCTAAATGAAGTCATAAATTCTTAGAGATGATAAAAAAGAAAAATACAAACAACAAAACAACAAAAACTAAACGACAGTGAAACTGAATTATTGAAGGAACAGACTTCAACACAAGCACCAACTCTCTGATGAAAGAAACTTTGCACAGAGTTAGTACGGCTCAGTACCACCTCCATAGTAAATCCTGAGCCTAAAAAGTAACTTTACAATCTAGGGACAGAAATTGGGTTGGGAGACTGTTCCATGGAAATAGGTCTCCAGCATCCCATTGGAACACAAAGCCATGCAGAGAATAAATCACTTTGAACACATCAACAGAAAATTAATGCCAAGGGGACTGTTGCAGTAGAACTTCATACCCCAGCCTTACTTTGTTCTGGGAGAAAATCCTACAAATGTTTTTGATTCTTTTTCTACAGAAATGTGAGCAAAAATTCCTTCAGACTTTTTCGCATTTGCAAAACTCCTCAAAGGTACAGAACATTACACGAAACCCCAGTATACATTAAAATTTTAGATTTTAACACCAAAAAAAATTGACAACCAAATACTTCTCAATAAAGGACTCCCAAATAATAGATGCACATGTCCATCAGCCTTACCTTTTGGTTTACTTTCACCTTCTGATTTTATTACTTCTGGTGAGTTTTCAGTTTTTGTTATACTAGGAAAATGAATTAGCTTTGATCCAGGAGAATGGGTAGGTAATGGCTGTATGAAGGGAAGAGAACTTTGTTAACAAAAACAGGTTTTATTTTTGATTAGGCTACAGAACATGCTCAATTTTTCATTAGCTGAGATGATGCAAATTACCATTTCAAAGAGATTCAGTGAGCTTTCCCATCAAGCACTTATCTTACTGTAGTTACTCCATTACAGACACTGCAATTAGACTTTATCTCCCGACTAAAGACAGAGCACAACTTTCAAACTGGAAGCCAATCTCAGGACAGGACCAATGTACTTCAGCAACTGTATTTCAGAAGTTCCAGGTGCTACTCTCCCATTAGCCTGAAAATTGCCTCCTCCAGCACAAAACAGAAGAAGTTATTTATTAGCTCTGCTCAGAGGAACTCCCTGATCACTCTTACTTTGCACTGGGATGAGGCAGGAATATTCAGCAGCCATACACTACCTCAGACAATCAGTTTTAACTACTCTACTACTACTAGCCAAGAGCATATGAAATCCCAGTTTCCCTTCACTCTTAATAATTTCTACAGAACAGGTGAATGTCACTAGAGATTTCTCCTGAATGAAAATCACCACAAGTTTCAGAGTTAACATCTAAGCAAAATATATATTACAGTATTTTTTTATTATTTTTTTCCCCAGAAGACTTGCTGAGCTGCCAGATTCTGTCAGCTTCAGCTGCATCCACTTCTTCAGAGCCCAATGAGCCACAGAGTATGATCTTACAATCAGTACTTACCCGAGCAGCCCTAATAGCATTACTGATGTGAAAAATCCCACTGCCTTTAGTAATTCTGTTCATTTTCATTTACAGTTCAACTTTGTAGATTTTCTACTGTCAGAGAAACTAGATTTACTCTCCCTAAAACCAGACAATGCCTGTAGGCTGGTATTTGGTATCTCTGTCATACTGTAGAGGAAGCCACGGTCAGTTGGGATGTTCCTGGAGGACATATGCAATTTAACTCTCTCCAGAATGGTATTTGAAGGAAGCACTAAAATAACGCACCTATGAGATTAAACACTTCCAATATGGAAACAGTTCTCTGTATTTCCCCCTCTCAAAATGAGATGCAAGTAGAAGTATGAGAGGAAGTTTAGGTAGGCAGGGTATAAATAGCCAGAGCCCAGGCAGGATGCTGGGACGAGCTGAAACAATCTCCTGTAGCAGCATAAGTGCCCTTGAGAACTTCAGAAACATCAGTGCTCAGCTGTCCTGTGCTAAACAGCCTCTGAATTTCCCAAAGGAAAAGAGCCCTCTCTACTCTAGACAGGTTTTTTTTTTTTCCCCTTACAGACTTAAGGACAGAATGACCTTCCAGCATCCCTTTATCTAACCCTGAAGCACAAATCCAAGGAAGCCATCTATTTTCCCAAGACCTTCATGAAAACTACCTCCCTTGGGCTCTCCATGTTGTTCTCTAATTCTGTCCACCTTTGGAATGACTTTGGCAACAAGTGGAAGTGGAACATTAAGTGCTAAACTAAATTGTTTACTTCTTTGTCACTAGGCTATGCAAAACTGTTTTCTCACTTCATTTCCTCTCTTGCTGAGAAATGGCCTGCAAGAGCTTTCCAGAAAGGCCAACCAACAAAACACAGCACCAGCATATTTTATTGTTTATACATAGTCAAATACAACAATTTAAAAGGTCTGACAGACTTCATATTAACTGAGCAGAGTTTAGACAGGCTCTTTATACTCCCACGTAATAAGGCAGAAAGTAGAGAAAAGACCTTTTGAACCATCAGTCTTGTGACAAGAAGGCAAGATGAAGCTAGGTCCTGTAGCCCTCATCTAACAGCATTTACATGAAGATCTAGTGAACCCAGAGACCTCCACTTCAAGGGACAAGGTCTGGAGAGATCTCAGGAAACTCAGTGTGCTTTCACAGAATCACAGAATGGTTTGAGTTGGAAGGGACCTTCAATGACCATCCACATCCAACCTCCCTGCCATGGGCAGGGACACCTTCCACTAGACCAGGTTACTCAAAGCCCCATCCAGCCTGGCCTTGCCTGGGCAACCTGTTCCAGCATCTCACCTCCCTCACCATAAAGCACATCCTCCTTATATCCCACTCTTTTCTTCCTAAACCTCTCCTCTTTCAGTTTGAAGCCATTGTCCCCTGTCCTGTCACAACAGACCTCGGCAAGAAGTCTCTCCATTGCATTGAAAGGATGCAACAAGGTCTGCCAGGAACCTTCTCTTCTCCAAACAAAACAACATATTCTTTAGGAGGTAGCATTCCCCAAGCCTTAAAGAGAAGGCAACACAATTTCAACTTTCATTTTCTGAATCATCTGATGCTTTTGACTGGACCAGAAATAAAGAGGACACGCACCATGCCATTGCTCTTAGCACTGCTATTGAGAGAAAACACACTCAAGGAAGTCTCTGTCCCCACCCTCCTTCCAGGGAATCAACTGACATTTTGCCCTACACCATTACAATTACTTCCATGGCAGTAGAGGAAAACAAATCAGTCTGCAAAACAGCATTAATAACCATAACAGGCAAAAAATTGAAATGAATAAAGGCTTTAAAAGCTTTCTTGAATTCATCACCTGAGTCAAATCTGAAACACTGGACTAGCTCAGCTGCCTTTAATTTATCAAAAGCTAAAAATCCATATATAAGCTTTTGGAATAAACAATGCATAAATTCAAGATAAAGGACTGAGAACCGTTGTTGAGTTTCCAAGGGGTAAGAGCACTCTCAGGTTCAGATCAAAATTAAAATTCAAACTGCAGCAATTCCACTATCATTGCATTATCTGCTGTCTCCTAAGTTCCAGTAAGTTCAGTATAGAGAATCAAAGTGTCCTTTTCCCACTCACTCATGAAAAATGAGGGAAAAAATGAATGGTGATGCAAAATTCTAAAACTGTATTTTTCAGGCTTACATTATCAGCAGTTTATGGAGCCAAAAGCTTGCACTGAAGGTAATGGCAGCTGACACCTTGAACAGCAATCTCAACATCCACCAAAACGTGAAAACAAAAAAACCAAAACCAAGCAAACCAAAACCCAAAGAAACACTAAAATATTCCTTGTTTTAAAAGACAACTTTAATTTGCTCAAGAAGACTTAACAGTCCTGTCCCAGACTACAAAGTCTGTTATAAGGAGGATTATGAGAGACCTCACACTGTACATGTGTTTGAGAATTCATTATGTCTTACACCACATGGCTCTGAAATGACAATTTTTCTATCACCTTGGTATTCCATCTCTAATGTTTTAAATACCAAGACATTTGAACAAACCTTTTGGAATCAATGTTAAATATAACTTACTAGGAAAGAAGCTTGAGGGGATTTGTTTCATTTTATAGGCAAGAGCCCTATGAGATGATAATGGTCAGAGCCCCAATCTCAAACTATTTTTACAGGAAAGCCCAAAATAACAATATGTACCAGCACAAACCTTATCTTGCTTTTTATCATCTGATTCATTACTGGATAATCTCGTCTTAAGTTTCACTGAGCCTTCTTTAAAGATATCCCCAAACCCAACACCTCGGATTTTCTTTGGCTGTGCTGGTCCAGACGCAGGTTCGCCCCCATTTCCTGGAGCGGTCACAGGTGAGGTAGGACTATTGAAAACAGGCTCTGAAAGTAAAATAAGAAAGGAAAAGTTATTTGAATAACTGAAATGATGTACAAATTTACCCATCTGTAAATTTTGCTTTTCTGGGGGGAAAAAGTTGAAGCTACACAGCTGAGTGCACTGTCCCTGTTAAACAGCTTTTCGAGGAACATCACTGTAGCTGTAATACCTCACCTTTGCTCTAGTTTTATATTTAACATATGACCAATTGAAAAACTGAAATGACACTAGTATTGCTCTGACTACTGTGGTGCTTAAATCAACAGATCACTAATATTTCTTGTTATTCAATTATCGCTCAGGTTCCACAGCCTTTTAACATCAATGTTTTCCCATTAGTTTTATGAAACACTGCTTATGCGTTCTCTGAAAATGGGGTTTTAGTCCAACATTTAAAAGCTTCTCCTTAGCAGAGCTGTAGCCACAGAAAGTGATGATCAATAAAGGTCCATAGTGAATCCAATCATGTTTAAAGAGCCACAGGAAAACACAGTGTCTCAGTGGTAGATGACGCCTCCCAAGGAACCAAAGTGATATTTTCCCATTGCTCAAAATGCAAATAGACAATACAACCATTTAAGCTCTTCTAATCTTTCAGTTTTAAGGCACAACATTTATCCAGCCCCCAAAAGTGTATTCCAGAGTTCCTCATTTTGGTGTTAAGAGCTTTGAGACTTTTTAAATTTTTTTTATTTTTAGGTTATGGTAAAATCTGTTGAAGTTTACAAACCAATACTCACAGATAAACTATTTTTACATGCAGAATTCCAGGAGACAGTCATGCGAAAACAGACAGCATTTATAAGCCAAATTCAAAATAGCCCCCACAACTTTTAGCATTTTGGTTAAGTTCTCTTCAGCCTACGCATATCTGGAAACTGCAATACAGACTAAAGCCTCTTCCCTCTATCATAAATTTCAGATCTTTTGATGAAACCATGAAGCTACATTGCTCTTGACTTCAGTTTCTCAGACTTTCTCTAAGCAGTTGCTCTTCACTCAGCTACATCCCCCTCATATATCTAAAAGGACAAAAGGACATCCCACTGATGAGGAAAGTCCAGGTCACATGTTTGAAAGACCATAGCTGAGTGAATGAGGCAGTTACTGCAGGAGTGAGGCTGGGAATAAACAGGCTCAAGATGCTGTCTGTGACAGTACTGAGCATTAAATATAAACCCTGGGAGGCTGAGGACTGTTAGTTACTGACAGAACTTTACTTCAAATTACTGTTCAGTTTCACTGACTTCAGTATCCAGGAATTAAGACCAACACATTTGTAAATTCATCTCATCAAACTCCACTAAACATAGGGAACTTGTCCTCCAAGGAGACACCACTGAACTATTTGCGACTTCAGGTCAAACAAACAAACAGGTCCAACTTCAGGTCTTGTTTTACAGTACTGCAATTATTTCCACAATTTACCAGAAAAAAAAAAAAAATCCAAGCCATATTCTCCTTCCCTATGTCTGAGCAAACCCTTGTTTGGAACAATCAATACTTAACATCTTGTAAATGAGGGTGCACATTACCACAAGGCTAAAAATCACTTTTCTCCTAGAACATGACACAGACGCCTTTAAGAATTTAAGAAATCAATTAACTCCTGTTACGATGTTCCCAAAAAACACTCCTAATTCCAGCAGTATCATATCACAAGTCTCCAGCCTTCAAACATTCTTCCTAGACCAAAATGTTTCTAAAGTGCCTTTTTTTTTTTTTTAAGGGAACAAATTGCCTGTAAAGCCCAGTCCTGCCTGGCACCACTCAGCTGTTCAGCCAGACCTTCTGCTTCTGCTCCAGCTAAAAAGCCACAGCCAGAAAGGAACAGCTAAATGTAAATTCTGCCTTAAAAACATTTTATTGTTAGATTAAAACATAATGAAGAGCCAGGGCTCCCTTCCCAGGGCTCATTTTAAGTTGAGGCTCTCCATACTGTTTTGCCTCAATTTGAGTTTTAATTCTCAAATGACTTGGTTAAACATTTAAGTTTTGTGTGTTCAAGAACTCAAGACTGTGAGAATAAGATTAAAAAAAGCTACAAAACAAAAAAAAAAAAAATTTGCATCTAATGCTAAGAAGAATCAACTCTGAACATGATAAAATTTCTAATGACAAAATGCAGATCACAGATCAAGACCTTGACTGCAGTTTTATTTGAAGTGCACTGGGAGCAAGACAGGTTATCTTTATACTCAGCATCAACACTTTCCAGAATGAAACTAAACACTTATCCTCCTTAGGAAGCTCGAATTCTTTACAACTTTTGCTGTACTATAACCATAATACTTCAAATTATACCCAAGATCTAAGATCACATTGCTAAAGGTTTACAAAAAACAGAACACCACCTGTGTCATCCACAGCGTCCTGTGTTTCTCCATCATCCGTCGACTCCAATTCTTTCACAAAGTTTGAAGGGAACAACCCTGCCCTGCCATTCAGTGTTCCACTCCACCAGCCTTCTTCTACCTGTAGAGAAATATTTTCCACGTTACCAATAGACCAACAGAGCAAAAGGAAATTCCTATCAATTCCATCCACACTTCACTTATAAAACTCTACAAACAACTTGGGGAAAATTCAAAATCACCAGGATTTCTTTACAGAGAAACCTGCCAAAGATGTAGAAACAGTCGGCAAAAAGAACAATTTACTGTGACTTCTATCACTACAGCAGTGATCCTAAAACATGAGACTAGCCCCATGACAGTTAAGCCAGAAAAGCAGCAAAATATTCATCAACTTTCTCAAAGTAAGACAGAATAACTGCACATCCAACAGCAGAAGAAAATACTAAACTGTTTAGGAAATAAAGATGAAATTTTTAGCCTGGGTTTCTATGGACATTTTTATGTATTCTTGCTGTCCATGTCTTTTCCTCTGCCTTGTCCAGTTTCCACCAGTCCTGATCCCACTGGCCTTGTATCCATTGGGCAGCTTCACACAATTTCAATCAAAAGACACAAGTTTCAAAGCTGTAATTTCTACAGAGAATACTGGGTAGAACAGAGAGAAGTCCTTAAGGACATCACAGAGTAATGGAAAACTAAGCTGTTCATTCCTTCTAGCAGAAGGCAGCTGGCTGAGCAGGCTCTCTCTGGTGCAGAGACTTTCCCACCAGAGCTGGCCAGCCAACAAAGGTAGCCAAGCCCACAAAGATTTTGTGGTGGCACACAGCAGTCCTAAGGAAAAAAGTCTGTTGGATGCCAAATTTTGCTGGCTTTGCTCTTCACAAAACAACTCATTTTTGCCCTGGAAATAAACTTGTTCAGGAACTAGGGAACATAATGACTCTAACACTCAGTTATGTGCTGGAATTCCTGGTGTGTCATTTACACTGAAATACTCAAATATTTAATGGAATGTTTATCAGGAATAACCCACAGTCCAAAGCAGAACAAGTAAAAACTGGGCATGCAGAGGTGACAGGGTAAAACAATGCCAACAGACTAAGAATCGTACTATTCCAATTTATGAACAGTTTTCAAAATGTCTTAAATAAATACAATCTATTTACCTAATGAGTACTACTTGAAAACTCTAATTTAGATAAATTTTCAAAATATTTCATTTCAGTTGCCTTGTTTTCGGGCTGGAAAGCTGTTTTTAAGAAAGAAAAGCAACAGGGAAAGAAAAAGAAGCAAACCAAACAGCAGTTGTTTACACTGCCTTTTTTTAGCCTTGTTTTGTAGGTCACTACGCCTGACACACAGGCACAGTTTTAAACATCAACCCACCTCCAGGCAAGCAAAGCATATCCAGAACCTGGCAGTGCAGAGGCAGGCAATGAAAACAGCACTGTTATTTTTAAAGGCATCCTGGTGCTCAAACAGAGCTTTGCTGTGCATGGTTCAACCTCAGAGGTCGGTCCTCTGAAACAGATTTTAAGCACAGATTACTGGCAAGTGCTGCCCAGGCTCTGGCACCTCAAGCTTTACATAACACATGATAGAAACCTAAAACACAAATGCCTTGACTCACCCAGACTACACCCAGGAGCCTGGAGAAAGGGACTTTTAATGCTTACGATACAGAAACAGCTTGAGCATCCCTTTCTTCTTCTGCCAAGAAATATGGTCAGCAAAGCACTTTGCAGAGTTGTAATGCAGAGATGCCAGTTCAGAGACACTCAGCAACAAAACAAACTTTTCTTGAGCACACTTGCTTCAACTTCAACCTCCTCAGCACGCTGCCTTTAAATGACTATATATTTTTTCTGGTAATATAGTTTGTATCTTTAATCGACATAAAAAAAATTATCTTAAGAAATTCTACACGCTTCAGTGGAGAACATCTGCACATCTGTCGGTGCCAGCAACACAGATGACAATTTCCCAACCTTCCATTTCAAAATCTTACTGGGTGATACAATTTCCACAAGAGGGAGGTACAGCTCTGGTACACACAGCAGAACTCTTTTAGTGTGAATCCCATCAACTTGTTTCTATCAAAAAGCTCAAGACTTCTCAACAAAACACAAGGAGAAAGGTTGAAACAAGCAGCTTTGCCAATATAGTTCGGGGTTTTTTAACAAAAACTTCACTAATGATGTTAGATGAAATTTTATTTTGCTTGCTTACACCAGTAGGCAAACACTAAAAATACAATACTACAAAAATAAATCTGCTGTTTAGTGCTGCTTCTGACAGAGAGCGGGGGGAAGATATAAAAGAGAAACAAATGTTTCACAGAAATGATACAGTTATCACATGCACTCTATACATTTTTTTCACATGTAAAACTCACAAGTTCTATAAATAAGAAACCCTGTGGAATCAGCCAGCACACAGCACAAGACTCTTCTTCCCTAAAGGCTCTCCTCACTCTTAGTAATTTAATTTCTGAACCCATCTGCCTCCACCTTCGATTTCACAATCAGTGGTGTCATTTTTAAGGACATAATTTACAAAAACAACTCAAGGACTAAATACTGAATTATTCTCAGGTAATGTAGAAATGAAGCTCATTTTACCATATTTTTCCCATAAAGAGGTAACCAAATGATCTTTCCTTGAAGTAAAGTTTCAAGTTACCTGCATATTTATATATATAAACACATATATATATGGAAATGAATCATCTGACCGTAGTGAAGACAAGTTCCCCCAGGATAGAGCACAACCAATGGACAGTATTTTCTACCATTCTTCACATTTCTGGTCTATCAGTACAGTTTTGTGAAGCAGACAGACCTAGTCTACACCTGCCAGGTCTATTCTACATCACCACAAAAACAGTGTGCAAACAGCTCTGTGCTCATAGTAAGCTGCAGTATTTTTCTACCTAGTAGCATCTGCCTAAAAATTTTCTTAGCAGTTTTTCTTAGAAGTAGTGAAGACTGGGTACTACAAACACGTATTTTAAAATCATTAGCAGAGGAGTAAGAATGAGGACCAATAAAAAAAAATTTCCTTAAGAAACCAGATGAGGAAATGCCTTGATTTTTTTATTCTGTTTATTCTGTCATGACTGCTAGTACAGGCAACATCCACAAATTAAACTGCTGAGGTTACCCAGGAACACTCCTTTACAAACGCCCACACAATGGTATTTATGAAACTGAGTTTAGTGAGCAGGTTTCACAAGTCACTCGCTCTTTTTACTCAAAGATATCAAATTCTACTGGTGCAAATGCATCTAAAGACATAGCTTGTCCCCTGCTAGGAGAATGAAAATGTCCTTCTTGGCAACTGCCAGGTGAGCACTAGAACTCTCTTCAAAAGCTTCCCACAACCCAAGTTGCTACTGACTGGAAAAGATATCAAGGAGGCACATAGGTAGGAACAGATTAAAAAAAGCCCACCCCAAACCCCTTGTCCTCAGTCACATGGGGCCAATGCCAAAGTTGGAACACTGAGATATCTTGAACTGTATTTCTTATCCAATGGAAAAAGGAGGCAACAGAAATAGTAACATGCTGTTGAGTGCATTTGTATGTTCCATATTATTCTGCAAGTGGGGTAAATGAAGTGTATTGCACTACAGCTACAGGTTTCTGTGCTGAATATTGGTAGTGGTAGTTCAATACTTCAATGTGCTTACAAGAGAGCATAAAACTGGATAATCAGGTCAAATAACATTCACCTAAACCAAGCTCGAGTATGTCGACTTAAAGGCAACTGGTCCAACAGTTTCAGCAAAATCATTCTAAAAATAACAATCACACGGGACCAAAGATCTGTAAAAGCCTTTCAAAAAATGAATCTGTGCTACAGACCCCAAATTATTGCTGTAATGATCAAATACTTCCCATAAACATCTAGTATGCATTGATTTAGGATTAGATCCTTAGACAAACAACTCCTAAACTAATAGCTTTAGCTGCAAAAACACTACTTTTCCCATGCTGTTTTTTCCAACATGCTTGCAAACCAAGCAATCAGCCAAAAAAAAAATCAATTTGACTTCTGGCACATAAAAGAGATGATCAGCTCTGCAAAAAAGCTCTTACCTCGTCGTTGATGTCGATCACATCCCCCACCTTGAGCTCCAGCTCATCTTCGTTCTGCGGGATGTACTCGAAGAGCACTTTGCACTGACGCTTCTTGGACCCTGAGCCGAGGGGAACAGCACAAGTAAGAACACCCATAAAGGAAGACCAGTCTTTCCTACACTCAAGCTCCTGAGGACCCAATCCGACCAGAAGACCCATAAGCCATCCCAAAAAGCTACACTGCTTTTGATGATGGTTTTCCAGTTTGTTTTGTCATGTTAGTCTATCGAGCCACCACTTAGGCGGAGGTTGAGAACAGGCAGACAAAATTCCAACACTGTATCGCTAATTACCAACAATGTCTGAAAACGTGTTGACTCAAGAGTCAGGTAAATCCCCACTACAATTTTTCAAGCTATTTCCTGATCAAAATCTGCAGGAATGACAGCTGCTTCCAGTTAGCACCCGCTTTGAAGAAAACATGCAAGTTTGAGCCTCCGGTCTTCAAGCCATCCTGAAAGCAGTGACACCTTTTGTTGTGAACTGATAGCCCTTCTGCCCTCCAACACAAACCTTGCTAACCACAGCTCTGAGGTAATGCCAACATTTGCTGGGCTCATATTTCAAAATCCAAGCTCATTTAAATCTGTGAATGCAAAAAATCTCCCTTTTCTCAGTGCCAGCATGGAATCAAGGAATTCAAACTCAGCATCAATTAGCAGTGTTTGACAAAAGCAAAATTAAAATTAAGTGCAATCTTCAGATGTTTGCCACATATCATTAAAGCTCTGCAGGCATTAAAAAGACAAAATGACATCCCGAGATGGGGGAGCATTGAAGCGGCTTCCAACAACCCCTCCGGCCACAGCAGCGTGAACCCACATTGCCTAATTACTGTGCACATATCCTGGAGTGATGCTGCTGCTGAACCCAGAGAGTTTATGCATTTCTCCTTCAAACAAGAGGCCATGCCTTCAGACCTTTCCCACAGCAGAGCAGCCAGCACACTTTTGAAGGCAATTATCATCCTGAGCTATGACCCGCACACGTTCTCTATCCTCCTCAAAAGCAATCTGCTTCAGTTTAAATGAAAATATGAATCAAAAGCTTGACGTGGTAAAGCCTAAGCTCACAGCAGCTGTATAATTTCCACACTTTCTCCCATACTTTGTACTCCTTTCACACTGAAGCTTCAACGATTAAAATTAGCTGTGTAAAAACATTTCAAAACACAGATACTGCCTCCAAGATTGATCCTTGTCTTATTATAGCAGTGTTGAAAGTCCAAAGTCAGATATTTAGAAGACAGCCACACCCAGTATTCTCAGTACAAAACATGCCAGACATCTGAGCAATATTCTGCATCTAAAATTTCCAAGGGAGGCCTCACCAAACCAAGAGTTTTCTACATGCTGGTATATGACCTGTGCAAATAAATCAGGCATATGAAACTCTGTGGGTTATTTCTAATAACACATAATTGCCCACATAATACCCCCTTCTTTTGCCTCCACTAGAGCTCATGCATCAGCCCAGAGGGATTGTTCAGTTTACAGTAATTGCAATAAACGGTTCACTGGCCTTTACTGCCTCCTGCAGCGCTTTCAGGGCTCCTCCTTTGTAGGAGATTAACTGATACCAAAAAAAGGCAAATTAAAAAGTCACAGCCATTTGGTATAAATCTGATCTCAGCATTCCATTTTAATGCTGTAATTCTACCTAAATGGGGGAGAAAACAAACCCATGGATGCATTTCACATCCAGAACTCTTCCTCACCCAAGGTATGCTTCCAGTGAGACCCAGTTTAGGAAGTACTGCCTTCCAGTTTTGAAAATCCCAAGACTAACCTAGGAAAGTTAATGGCACAAAGCTGTTTTAGGAGAGGTGTAGGCTGGATATTAAGAGAAGGTTCTTCACCCAGAGGGTGATTGGGCATTGGAATAGGTTCCTCAGAGAAGTGGTCACAGCACCAACCCTGACAGAGTTCAAGAAGCATTTGGACAACGCTCTCAGGCACATTGTGTGATTCTTGAGACGTCCTGTGCAGGGCCAGGAGCTGGATTCAATTATCCTGATGGGTGGGTCTCTTCCAACTCAGGATATTCTGTGATTTTAAGGTAACCAGTTCAACTCAGGAAACAACACTCCAGCTTCAAGTGGTGCTGCAGGACTGCTGGGTTGGCAGCCTGCAGGCAATTCTGTCCCTTTCCAAAACAACTTGTCTGGCTTCAGGTTTTGTTTGTTTTGTACAGGGTAAACCAAATTTAGCCCTTTGTTGCAGTCACCCCACCTTCCGTGTTTTCCTTCTGCTGAAGAAAGGCAGACATCTAACTGATGGGAATTCTGCCTGCAGCTTACCACCCACCTGACACAAAATACCTGAATTCAGCAGGAGGTGCGCATGAGAACAACACAAGGACCTGAGCAGGCACAGATAACCTGCCTCACTGCACACAGAAACCTGCTATTAAAAAAAATTAAGGGTTTCTTTAGCATTATAAACCTCATTTTACCAGGTGAGGAACTGGAAGTGAAAAAGACAACTAAGCTCTGAAAACCTTTTGAAGGATGCAAGTGATTGCCCAGGCACAGAGCAAACAGGATCTGCTGGAGCTGTTTAAACAACCTTTCAAGAAAAAGGGAACAGCAAGTAAAATGGAAATGAAGACTGTCACTGCACCAAGTAAACAACTGTATCCCTAAAGGAACGTGCTGGAACATCATTTTCTTCCAGAAAGAAGAGACTAGCTAGAGCACTATGGAGCTGGAGAGCAAGTTGTACCTATTACCCTGGCTACAGCCACCAGCATGAGGATGAGACATGAGATCCGGGATCATTCCAGGGTTAGGGAGACCAAAACAAGTAGCTGGCAGCTGAACTGGTATCAGATTATGTTCACTGAATCCTAGAATATCTTGAGTTAGGAGGACCCATAAGGATCATGTTTATTCCCTTCCAGAGCCTGGCTGCATTTATCCAGGAACAGCCTTAATCCTTCAGGCTAGATTTTTCCAAAGCCTGCTGATGTAAACATCGAACAGGCACATACTGGTGTTGCCAATAAGCACACGCAGATCGAGAGACACTAAAAAGTAATTTTGAACCCTTAGTTGCCTAGAACAATGTATCCAGAAATTCATAAATCTGGTAGTCTCATTTCAGGGCTTTCAAAGACAACCAGTTGCTCCTTTCCTTTTATGGGCAAAATCTCAAAGCATAAACACACCAAAAACAGTAAGGTCCTGAATGCTTTGTTTTTAAAAAAGCAAGCTTAAATCATAAAAGCCTTGAATCCCTTGTAAGAGAGAGGAAGCCAGAGTAATTCAGAGCAATGTCTTATAAGAGACTGATAAGTCCCAATACAAATCACAGGTCAATCTGCTGGATGCAGGGAATGGCAAATTTTCTGCTCTACATTTTGGTCACCATGATTTAAAAACTGGCATTAAAACACAGAAACCACAGACACAGAGGCAACAACACTGAGCTCCTGACCATCCTGAGGGTTGCTGTTAATAACAAAAGGAAAACCACTAATTTTGTTTAGACACCACCAACTCCACCTTATTTCACACCAGAAGCAGGTCTGCCCTGAGGAATCTGAACTCTGGAAAGTTCCCTTGTCACAAACCCTTGAATTTTTAACAGAGTTTCATGTTTAATACTTCTTTTAAAAAGACCACAGGAAGATATTTTTGATTATCATGAAAAGGCCTGCAATTCTCATTCATAATTATGTCATTGATAACACAAGCAGAGCTCACATGAAGTTACAGAGCTCTCTGGCATCTGGAAGGTGTCTAAATCCTGTTCCCAAGAAAATTCATCCCTATCACTGCTCTTAAAACCTGCATATAAGCTTTCTGCCCATACATCCACAGGTAAAACTTGGCTTTGAATCAGTTTTTCCCCTTATGCTTCTAGTTTTCCATATAACCTTAAAACTAAGTCAGGCATTAAATAATTCATGTTCATTTTTTAAAAGCCCGTCAGAAGCTTACGCAATTGAAGGAACTGGAAGGACTACATACTCTTCTTGAATCCTTTGGATGGGGGATGAGGCTGAAATCCTCCTGCTGGAAGCCCATAGCTGCTCATCCGCTGCACAAGACTGGCTACATTGCCAGATTTCTCCCTCCTGAGTGGTACAGCATCATCCTTGGGCTCTACATCCTTCTTAACTTCCTGAAACAAGAGATTTAAAAGACTGAGAGGCCACTTAAATTACTCAAGGGGTCAGTGATTTTAGACAGGCATTCAACAGACTAACAGATTTCAGGTACTTAACCATTTCAGGTATAACAACATATTATACTCAAAAATCATGGTATCCTGCAACTAAATATAGCAAAGGCCTTGATAAACTTGATCCTTTCATACAATCATGTTAGTAAAAAGGTGAGCTGATGTGCTAAGAAAATTCAGAAACAGGGGCAGCATTTTAGCCATCTACTCCAACTCTAAGAAAAGTAGCTTCGAGCCCAGAAGTCCTGTATTACAAGTCTCATGTCAGAGCTCATATTTGAAAACATTTATAAACATAAAAATATTACTTCAATGGCAGACCCATAGGGCAGGGCAATAAAATAATTTATTACACAAAATGATATTAGGCAATTATCTCTGCCTCAGGAAGCTCCAAGGTGTTTACAGATAAGATGCAGTTGCATTGCTGAAAGAGTGGAGAAGAAAGTGAGACACAAGAAACAGCAGGAGCAAGTGAGGGCAAAGGTGTAGGAGGAAAATAACAGAGACATAATTTCTCTGGTAATTGTCTTCCACCTTTCTATCTTTCTAAATTAGGATGTTAACCCTGGAATTGAATGTGCCAATCAAGACTAAGAAGCCTATAAAAAAGCAAGCATCAGTTCTTGATAAAAAGGCAGAGTACGCAGCAGTTACTCTCTCACATCAGCTCATTAAGCGAGATTCCAGCGGAGAACAGACACTCTGGGAGAAGGAAACCACTACTTTGCACAAGAAATCCATTAAGGCGGATCAATGGCCCATCTAGTGCAGAACACGCTCCCAGAGACTGCAATCCCAGAGACTGCAATCCCAGAGCTATCCTGCAACTCAGATCCTCCCACATTCCCAGAGCACCCATAAGGGCTTCATTAGGGAGATATATCTCCTTTTTATGTCTGCAGCTGGCCCTGTCTAACCCCTTTCGGCACCCACGGGCCTGTTTGCCTCCCCAGCATTCTTGGGGATAGACACCAGATTTTGCTACATAAAGAAGCTTCCCTCTCCCATCTGCTCTAGGCTGACACCTTACTAGCTCCCCAGGGTGTTCTCCCCATCACTGAATTTCGTTTGTCACAACCTCCATGGCTGTGTAAACTTGGACCGTATTTCCCCTTGGCTTTGCCTTCTCAGTTGAAGAGTCCCAGCCCCCTCAGCCTCATGTCAGACAGCTGATCCATCCCTTTCCCCACCTATCCAGGGGCCTTTGTCTATCCCAGAGTCAAGTGAACTGATGACCCCTGGCATTCTGCTGGTGTTTTGGGCTGTCACTGCCCCGTGAGCTGAGGAGTTCAGAGAACTGAAAGCGACACTACCACATATTTGTGAGCTGATGCTCACCTTGCAACTGGCAGTTCCATGACATGGATAAGCTTTTCCTACACACATCACTTGGCATTTGGCTCCCTCTTTTTGTCTTCTCAGCTCCTTGCCATCAGCATGGCACTGAACTACATTAGAGTTTAACAGCCCTCACAAAATGGGAGTGTCCACTGTTAAATCCCCTCTCCAGAAGACCAGAGGTGCTGAACAAAGACACTACCACAACTGGCTCCAGGAGATCCCATTAGAGACTCTCCTCTATTGTCAGGAGTCATTGGTAAGTCCTTTGTTTACAAAGAATCTTCCAATCCACAAAGGAATTTTTCATTCAGTCTCATAGCAACTTTATTCCTTCAATAACTTGATGGAGAACTTTTATCAAACACTTTCTGAAAACCCAAGCGTGTTACATTCACTGAATTTCACACATCTGTGCGCTTAGCAAGACTCTCAAAGCCCATCAGCTTTCCCACCACCACAGAATTACAATGTCTAGAGGAAAGCAAACACCCATTAGCACTTTGCAGCTTTTTGTGATCTACTTCAGAACAATTCCTGCATCCACCATCAGTAGCCACTGGTTGACAGCTCCACTACTTAATGCAGAGGTAGCAGCAATAAAATCTTTAATAATAACTGAAAACAATACTGGCAAGGCATAGATACACACTTACTCCATGTTGTGTGAGCTCTTAAACATGAGCTTTAGGACAACAAAACCTACACATCGAGGAAGTGCCAAAAATAGCAGAAACATATTGCCCAGGACCTTGCTGGTGCTTTCTGGAACATTAAAGCCCAGGTCACCCACTGCAGCTGTCCAGCTGGAAAACTCAGCAGGTCTGAAAACCTAATGATGCTTTCAAAGATACTACAAACCTAAAGTCAAAAAGACCAAAGCACCTCCCTATTTCTCAAAAGAGCAAAGCAAGTAAAATAAACAAAACTACACACAGCACAGTATTTCTTCCCACTCATCTACATGACATAAAAAAGGTTTTTCAGAAAACAGTCAAGTAGTTCCTGCTGTTACTCTCCTTTACCAGCAGTGACTTCTGCCCTGGAGATCTCAGCTGTGCTGAGATCCCATCTTCCAAATCCAAAAGGAAAAAAAAAAAGAAAAAAGAAAACCCAAACAAAAAAAAACCCCAACCCTCCAGGATAGCAGAACATCCTGTCCACTTCCCATCTGAACAGATATTTCACATTTCAAAGACTTTGTCATTCTCATCTTGTTTTTCAGCCAGTTACCTGCAAGTCTGATAAACGATAAGCCATTAAATTTGGCTACAGCTGAAACATTTGCCACCTCCAAAACACCCTTTTAGCTGCCTTACTGTTAGGGCCATTCTGCTCATTGGGAAAACATACTGGTCCTTGGAAACTTGCCTGAAGTGCTTCTGCCCCTGGATTTTTAAAATTATAATCTTCTGCTATGTGATTTATACAGCCTCCAAAATCTCCAAGCTGCTCCAGGAACTTCCAATTCACCAGCTCCCCAGTCATGGCACTTCCAGTGAGGAATCCGCTCCAGATTGCTTCCCCAACTCTGCACTTTGCACAAGGTTTCAGAAGCAGCTGCTTCAATAACTGTAAAAAGCACACAGCTGCAAAAAGGAACTGGGGAAGCCTTACACAGGCACTTTGGTCAAAAGCATGACCTCCCTCTTTTTCTTTTTAATTTATTAGAAGAAATAAAAAAGCAAAACAGCACACTTCCAAATGTTACAACACTCTGTGAGGTAAGATCAGAGTAAGCAATAATTTGAATTAAAGAGAACATATACTTTTAAGTCCAGCACTAGCATCAAAAGCAGCAACCTAATAGATAAATTATAAACAACAGGAAATGATTTGAGGCAAAAGCAGTGTCCACTACAAAAGTCCAACGACCCAAAACCAAAAGGAGGAATGCTGGAGTGCCTTTCTCGCCAGGTTTGAGTCAGTAATCGAGCGGTGACAGGTAGGAAATACTCAAAGGTCTGACACAAGACAGTGGTTAATTTTAACAGAAACTATACTGGATTAAATTTAAAAATAGAGTCTAAAATAATTCTTTGAGCAATCATTACATCTTGCAGAAAATCTTGCAACCAGATTCAAAGGCTGAAGATTTACCGATGAAGAATTTCATCAGGAGAAACCAGAAAGAACAATCAGACACTGGGAAAGGCTGGTACATCAGACTTTCCTAATACAGACAAGACATGAAAGCTGAACTTTGATACATAGTTAAGAGAAACCATCCTACTCCAAGGCATACAAAAGGAAAGAGGTTGCAAAGAAAAACTCAGGGTGACTGTGTGACAAAAACAGTAGCAGAGAGATGCAAATCCATTAGATTTACAACGAAAAGATGTGTAACAATCACACAACAGGGTCCTGCCACAGCAGACAGTGGTAAGTCTAGTTTTGACAAAGAACCATATAAGTAGTTAGCAAGCAAGGCATGGATAAGTCAACAAATACTTCTTCCATATTTAACCTACTATCCTTTAAACTTTCTTGTGAAGCAAGCACTATTTTTTTTTTCCTGTTAAAGAGGAACTGCAACATTAATTACCCTTCCTCAGGGCATTAAAAACCACATTAAAATCAAACCACATCAAAGCAAATTCAGGAATTCCTGGTCTCCACACCTGCACATAAGTCTACTACAGCATAATCCGTAGTTCACATCAGTGCTCTAATAGCAGGAAAATGCTCCAAAATTCATTTTTGAAAGCACACAAGAGGATCCTCTGACATACACACCCACCACTCTCCCCAGCAACTTCATCCTGGGTATCATCACTATGACTCTGACCTTTTGGACATGTGAAGATTTCACAGAGGAAGTAATTTCTAAACAATACAGTTTGGATCTCTGAAAACTGACACTAATCAATGTAAACATCAATAAATACCCCATTAATAGCGTTAATAAGAGTCTCAATTCTTACATCTCTGCTCTAACAGCTTGCTTCAAGTTCAGTGGTTGGAAAATGACACTGCCCACAGGTCTCATGACTGAGCTGTCACTACACCCAACCTGAACATGCCCAAGACTCCTATTCATTGCCTTCACAAGTAAGGCAATTTTCTTTCTTTGTTTTTTTTGGTGGGTTTTAAGTCAGCCTCGTATAACCGAACTATCAGAGAGAGTCTGTGTTGTGACAATACCAACAAAACACTCCAGGATGCTTCAGCTTGTTCTGAGACGAGGCTTCTGCCAGCTGCCAGCCAGCAAAACCAAAATGAAAACCTGACATTAACTGCAGCTGGAAATTTTAATATTGTTATTATGATAGTCCACTGCAGTTCAAGGCCTTGTCAGTGTTTCCATTAGCAGCACAGATTTTAAGCATTTATGACTTGGCAGTACAAGGTCAATACAGACTGTCTCTTGGCATGAAACATGCTCAACTGGGAAGTAACCACCCACTTCTTCTGTCACAAACTACAGCACTAGTCATAAAGGTCTGAAGTTTTCATAATCTCCTCTAAACGTGTGTTTTGCAACACTTAAATCTGCTGAAATCACTAAAGGCTGGTATGCAAAAACGAGTATAAATTTATCTCAACAGCAAAAAAAAAAAAAAAAAAAAAAGATTGGGGTGATCTTAAGGGGCCGTTGC